GTAAAGGATACGTTTATATAGAGACCACAGAAAAATATTAAACAAGAAATCATCGGTATAATATTCTGATGACGCTTTTAAAGTAAATTGGATATATAAAGAATAGTGGTTCTTTTATTCAAGAAACATCAGGGAGAATTACTCAACAGTTCATAGTGGAAGGATTGCTAAAACGTGTAAGTGAAATTTCATATCAGATGTCAAATGATACAGATCAAGGCCCAACCACTAGGATTTTAACACAATGTTACCCACGAGCTGGAACTAGGAAACCCACCTTACAAACAGAATTTGGAACAGTCAGTAATTTGGACCTTGACTCTCGCAAAGAATGTCAAAGTTGTGAAAAGGGATACAAATATATTTCCATCAATCTTAGGAGTAAAAAAAATGCATAATATCAACTCTTGCATATTGTGATTGTGTTAGACTTGCATGTATCTTTTTAATTCTAATTGGAATTCTACATAATCTATAGAAGAATAATACATGATCTATTTTTTTTTATTCTTAAAGTGTGTGCTGTGTTCATTATTTAAACGGTGATGATCCTCTCAGCTCATTGTTCCCTTTTACATACGCAGTATGAATTCCTAATGTTTTCTATATCTGTATATGAGAATACTAAGTTAATGTATTTTGATTGCTTCACCCAAAGATTTCATCAGGGGAGTGTATGAATTGAAATGTTTAGCTCAAGATGATTTTTGGGGCTCCTATGTCAAAGTATTAGAGCGTTTGCTCGAGAGTCACGCAGTTAAGTGTTAATCCTTACGTCGTGGTTTCCCACCCACTGCAGGACATGCAGACTACATGTAGGTGCAGGCAAGGAAAAATTCTCCGATTACAAAGGGACGTTAAAGAAACAAAGAAAAGTATTTTTTTGTTTGAAAAAATGAGTTAAAAGAAGTGTTTCATTCAGCTGTGTATTGGGGTGCAGATAAAACAGTACATGGAGGGTTATTTTTATATATTGTTTATATACTACTGTGCCTTATTGGAGGAAGCACATTTGTTTTTGAAATTGTATACACTTTTTTGACATTGTATTTCATATTTATTTTGATCACATGTTGATAGTACCAATTATTGTTGAATTGCGAACCTATCAACATAAAGAGGGGGTAAGGTGTAAATTTTCGACTTTTCTGGTGAATCCACCAGCTTTCTGTCCTTGTGTATAGAAACGAACTTAGTCATTGTAAAGGAAAACTACGAATGCTTTTTGATTTTAATGCTTTTGGTGGATCCACCAAACTCCCCACTTTTAATGAATACACAGGCAATGTTGACAATATATCATTTAAGTATTCTTGAGTATTCCTATTTGCATTTTGGTGGATCCACCAAGTATTTGTAAGTGAAATCGAGAATGCCTTGTTATTTGATTTTTTTTTTACAGTTTGGTGAGTCCACCAAACTCCTCTCTGTATTTAAGGACAATTTAGTTGAACTTTGGGTTACATGTAGATTTTTGACTTTTCTGGTAGATCCACCAGCTTTTTGTCCTTGTGTACATAAATGAATTAAGGAAGTGTCATTAGGTAATTGTAAAGGGAAATTATGAATGCCTTTTGATTTTTAGCTTTTGGTGGATCCACCAAACTGCCCACTATAGATAATTACACGGATAATGTTGACAGTATATCATTCAAGTATTCTTGTGTATTCCTGTTTGTATTTTTGGTGAATCCACCAAGTATTTGTGAGTAAAATTGAGAATGACTTGTTAGTTGAATTTTTGCATTTTGGTGAGTCCACCAACTCTGTATTAAGGAAAAATTTTAGTTATACTTTCTCTTTTAGTTTTTGGTGGTTCCTCCACTCAGTTTCTCTCAATGGGTTGTTTCAGTGTCTTAACACTGGTGGATTCACCAACGTCGTTTTTAAAGTATCGTCATTATCAAAAGTAATTGGGAATTTCACCAGATTGCTTTTATAAATTTGAGCTGAATTGTCTATTTGTATTTTTGGTAGAATCACCAAGTTTTCTTGAAGATATTTCAGTTGTTTTGTTGGTAAGTTCACCAATTCTTTTAATGAATTGTAGAATTATGTATGGTCAAATTCACTCTTGTTTTCTTGGTGGAACCACCAAGATCAATCTTTATTTGAAGATATTTGATAATTCAAATTGGTGGATTCACCAATCCTTTGACTGTGAATATGGAATACCGATACATTATTGATCTGTTTTAACATAAATATTGGTGACCACACCAATTCTTAACTTATTCAATAACGAAAATGAATAAAAAAAAATTGTCGATTTCTGAAATTGCATTGTCTTCATTTTTCATTTTGAATTAAAAAAAGAGGACACGAATAGAAAATCCTCTTTCTTAATGGAAACAGTTCACTATATAATCTATAGAGCCTCGCCCTAACACCAGAACCCCTGACCCTGGGGCCATGAATTTCACAATTTTGAAAGAGGCACTCTTGTTCATCATAACTATGTACTTAGTTACTTTATTTAATACCCAGGAGCAGAGAAGAAGATTTTCAAAGAATTAATGCATTTTCACTATATAATCTACAGAGCACCGCCCTTACACCAGAACCCCTAACCCCGGGGCCATGAATTTCACAATTTTGGAAGAGGCACTCTTGCTCATCATAACGATGTACTTAGTTACCTTATTTAATACCCTGGAGCAGAGAAGAAGATTTTCAAAGAAATAATGCACTTTCACTATATTATCTATATAGCCCCACCCTGGGGCCAGAACCCCTGACCCTGGGGCCATGAATTTCACAATTTTGAAAGAGGCACTCTTGCTCATCATAACTATGTACTTAGTTACTTTATTTAATACCCAGGAGCAGAGAAGAAGATTTTCAAAGAATTAATGCATTTTCACTATATAATCAATAAAGCCCCGCCCTAACACCAGAACCCCTGACCCTGGGGCCATGAATTTCACAATTTTGGAAGAGGCACTCTTGCTCATCATAACTATGTACTTAGTTACCTTATTTAATACCCAGGAGCAGAGAAGAAGATTTTCAAAGAAATAATGCACTTTCACTATATGATCTATATAGCCCCACCCTGGGGCCAGAACCCCTGACCCTGTGGCCATAAATTTCACAATTTTTGGAAGAGGCACTCTTGCTCATCATAACTATGTACTTAGTTACTTTATTTAATACCCAGGAGCAGAGAAGAAGATTTTCAAAGAATAAATGCAATTTCACTATATAATCTATAGAGCCTCGCCCTAACACCAGAACCCCTGACCCTGGGGCCATGAATTTCATAATTTTGGAAGAGGCACTCTTGCTCTTCATAACTATGTACTTAATTACCTTATTTAATACCCAGGAGCAGAGAAGAAGATTTTCAAAGAAATAATGCATTTTCACTATATGATCTATATAGCCCCACCCTGGGGCCAGAACCCCTGACCCTGTGGCCATGAATTTCACAATTTTGGCAGAGGGCTCAATGCTTATTACAATGATGCCAACAGTTTGACTGCTTGATGTCCAGGAGTAAAGAAGAAGATTTTTAAAGATTGCATTATTTTTGGTGGTTTTAGCCCCACCCCTCAGGCCCCAGGGGGGCAGGGACCATGAAATTCACAATTTTTGTTCCCCTTCACCCATAAATGCTATATGCCAAATTTGGTTGAAATTGGTTAAGCGGTTTCAGGGAAGAAGCTAAAAATGTTCAAATGTTAACGCACGACGCACGCCGACGGACGAGAACGGATAGCAATAGGTCACCTGAGTGACTCAGGTGACCTAAAAAGTTTACGCACACCGCACACCACACAAATGACCATAGCATTAGCTCTTTGAGCCTTTGGCTCAGAAGAGCTGACAAAAAATTCTGTAGAATCACAGCATGCTAAAAATAGAAACATAATACATGTACTTCTGTAGAATCACAGCATGCTAAAAATAGAAACATAATATTCTGTAGAATCACAGCATGCTAAAAATAGAAACATAATCTGTAGAATCACAGCATGCTAAAAACAGAAAAATAATAATAAAAGTAGACAACACATCTATAGCATCACAGCATGCTAAAAACAGATTTAGATGAATTCCTTACACAAAGCTTGAATCTATGATTGTACCAACTAGAGCATAAACCACATTTTAATTCAGCTTAATTCTGAATTATCTAAAAAGAGATTCAAGTCAAGTAAACTGGCCTTGGTACTTTATTATTAGGTGTCAAAATTTTCCCATTTTTGTATAATGATAGAGCAGAAAATTTATCATCATTTTTATATACTTTATAGCTTAATCATCTCTCAAACAAATCTGGTCCACTCCTGTCCCTTATACAATTACCAGTTACTGTATTTGGTATAACACATTTAATAGGAACACGGATATAGCAAAGATTTTTTGGATCCGCTGCAAAATTCTTAACAATTCTTTGTAAAATTTACGGTTATAGGAAATCCTGATATAACAGATTTATGGATATAGTGAACTGATTTTCTGTCCTGTAGAGATTAAAAATAACAATATTTACATCTTTTATAAAGAATTTTTTAAGATGTCAAAACTTAAAATATTAAACTGACATTATTTTCGTAAGTATTTATATTTGAAATTCAATGCATCAGAAAACTTAAGTAAGCCAAGGTAAATTTTGAATTTAATACTTTGACAAACATATTTGGTAGTCATATTTGAAGGAAAACATGCATATTGAGAATTCGCTACATAATCTAGCAAATTCATTTTTTGAATATAACGAATTAAGGATATAGCGAAGTAAATGCAAAGGTTCCAAGAATTTGGCTAAAACTGAGTTTTACTGTACAAGCTTATTTTTCAGTCTTATCTTATTTGCAGATGACTTTGCCTGATTTGAAGTCATGTTTAAAGAGAGATAACTCTGTTGCATTCACCCAGTTTTGAATTTGCCTGCTGATGACGAGGACAATAGAGGCAAAAAATGAAAAAAAATTTCCATATATAGCGATTATCATTTCAAACACTTAAGATCGGTGTCATATTGTCCGTCTTACCTGATACAGTAACGAGTCATCAGCGTTGTACTGTTTAGCATTCTCAAACACCTGGTTCAGATCGGAGGCCACTTGGTCCAGACTTCTATACTGGTTGTACTGTCAAAACAATATTTAACAATTAATCAATTTGTTTGACAGATTGACAGCCAGAGAGATTACTATAAAGCACCCACAAATCCTTGCAGGGCACATTAATAATTCAATTGTAGGATTATAAACTTTTCTCTCTCTTTTTTTTTTTTGGAAGTGCATCTTTTTTTTTGTTTTATTAAAAGTCAACCCTATTCTGATATCAATGAATGGAATTCGCACTTTTTTCAATTAAATGAAATACCCATATGTAACCTTTTTTTTCAACTTACTCTCATAAATAGAAATAAAAGCTGACAAAATAGACTTATTAAAACCCAATTGTTTTTTTTTTTTACGTTATCATTTCAAAATTGTAAAATAAATTCTACTCAATTCAAAACTCCATTTCAATTTCTCAATATGAAGACTACTGTTTTGATCTGATCTTAAGGTAATAATTATATGTAGACTGCTATCTTTCATTTGTTAGGTAACTAGCAATTGTATTTCTAGCAATGCCGTCCAATGCATTCCCATGATTAAGGTATTTTTGTGATATGGAATTTTTTATTTTTATTTTCAGAAGAGTGAGAAGAATTAGACCTGTATGCATGATTCTTTCATATTTAGCATCCATCTTATAACATGTATAATATCAATATTGTATAATATTAATTCCAATACACAAATATTATATACTTTTATATTTAATCTTTAATATGTCAACTAGACACAAGAATAACATTTTCACAAGCAGATGGTGAAAATAAAATTAACGTTCTCATGAATCAAGTTATAGACAGTACCTTTATTTTTTTGCGGACATTGGATAGAGACATTGGCTTTGAGATTTCTTCATAATAATCAGGATAAAACCTGCAAATATAAACAAGTTAACACAATTTAACACACAACAGTAACAAAGATTCCTGACTCTATCTTCTACCGTAAACCAAATTTGATTTGCTTGTGAGAAATATCCACAAGTTTTGTGACCTCATTAAGATCTCACCACACAAACTCTTTCATTGTGTATTTATATAGAAAGTTCTCCCACACCCAAAAATTAACAGTCCTGGATGGATTTCAGACCGACAGATAGTAAATAAAAGTTGTCTGCAATAACATTTGGCTTACAGCACACAAGTGTTTGGATGTACATTATAACTAAAACAGAAGGATAGTTTTACAGAACTAATCGTTCACATTAAAATATTTCCATAATTTTCAACAGTGAATTATACTTCAGGTACATTAGAGATTCTATAAATCTTATATAACAATCAGATCACCAGCCATTGCACCGTCTGTTCACGAACAATCAATAAAATTCAGTTCACCAACCTTCTCTCAATATGTACACAAGCAATAACCAACCTTTTACTTGGGAGTTTTACAAATGGCTCAAATATTGTCTCCCCTGAAGGCATTCTGTAAGTCTTTACAGCGTTTAGAAGTGTGACATACAGATTATCGTCCTCGGACATAATTGTCTCAGCTCCGGAATCATCTTCGTAATCCAGTAAACTGGCGTCCATCGAGGCCTCGAAATCGTCCTCGTCATCCGAGGGGTACTTCAGGGCTGCACAAATGGCCGACATTTTCTGGAGATTTCTGGTTCTAGTAAATAAACAAATACTTCAGTGCTGTGAATGGAATGTTTACATGATGTATGCTGAGGCTGAATACTTCCTTAAGACTCCCAACAGTCTGGAGCATAAGTAACATTTTTCTGTATTCAGTTATTTTTCACCTTATTTTACTTCAATAAATACTTAAACAGCCAGGCTTTGCTGTTTTTCTAGAACTTAATGTTATGTTTTCTACAGTGAAAGTTACTAGACTTAATACAGTCATTTTAATAAACTTAAGTACCTGGAACCCCAGTATCTCGAATACCATGGATATGTCCAAGTCAGATGGAAGTCCCAACCACTTTTCTATATGTATTTTAACATCAATAACTTGAATCTTATAATATATTGAAGTGTTTTTTGGCCAAATTTAGTTCAAGAGTATGATGTTATACTGTCCTTTACAAAAAATCACCAATTTGCCATTGAATCTTCAGCCATAAATATGATCTTTTTTATTACATGGTACCTTTAGAAAATATTTTCCTCTAAAAACTACATTCTTCTGGTTAAATTTAGATGTTAATGCATGGTTTAAACTCAATACATTCATTATTGACTAGCAACATTTAAAAAAAAGATTATTTTCATATCAGTTAGTATTCCATGGAACATTTTCCAATCGGTAAAACATCAAATATCTGGAACAGATTTACAAGGTGAAGGGAGACAACTCATAAAACTTAAATTAATGTAAAAAAGAAAAACTTTATCAAAAAAATAAAATGCTAGATTTAGTTATGCCCCTTACATTACAAGTAAAAATCAGAAAGTACATGTATGAAATATTTGCCAGCTCACCTGACCCGCTCTGGTGGTTTAGGTACCATGTTTTTTCTCTGACTCACCTGACCCGCTCTGGTGGTTTAGGTACCATGTTTTTTCTCTGAATAATCTCCTGCCTTTTCTTCTGTATTATTTTCTTCATCTCTACTGCATCCTGTCAAGTGATTAGTTAATACTAACAAAACCTAAACTCTATCATATCTCTGATAGTTCTCCTCAAGAGAATTAAATGTCACACTCATATTGCAGCAATCAGTTTACAAAGTAATGTTAATAACTGTAAAATATTTATAAAATGAAAAATAAATTTTCCACAAAATATCAATCCTGACACAAGACAAAAACTTTCCAAGAAATTTTTAACCTTTCTTTTGTATATTTACCCTTTTGAACATCATACAAAACATCTCTAAAGATACTGCATCTTGTAGATGACAGATTTAGATGTGGAGTTAAATACCTTGTAGATGACAGATTTAGATGCGGAGTTGATTACCTTGTAGATGACAGATTTTGGTTCATTAAATGTCCTGGCATTCTTCACCATCAAAAGGAAGTCCTTCTCGATTTCCTCTAGTGTGTTATACATACTGCCCTGGATTTTCTGAGCAATCATCTTCATATCAATGGGGTTCTTAATAATCTGGTAATACTCCGGGTATTTCTATAACACAGTTCAAAGTTTACATTATAATCCTATAATCTAGGATCTGGTAATACTCCGGGTATTTCTATAACACAGTACAAAGTTTACATTATAATCCTATAATCTAGGATCTGTTAATACTCTGGGTATTTCTATAACACAGTACAAAGTTTACATTATAATCCTATAATCTAGGATCTGGTAATACTCCAGGTATTTCTATAACGCAGTAAAATTATAAAGTTAAAATTACCTCTGATTTGCATGACTTCACATTTACTTACTGATCTTTGTGGGAGGAGTTGGAACACCAGACTGATGTCTCTATCCCCGTCTCTTGCGTTCATAGCTGCCGCGAACAGTTCCTCAATTTCCTGTGGGTCGTCCTTTACATCTTCTGTCTGTTTCTCTGAGGGAGAATCATCCTCCTGAAACCAGAAACAAAGCAGAGTTATCTCCTCATTACAATAATACACAAACCACAAACAAAGCAGAGTTATCTCCTCATTACAATAATACACAAACCACAAACAAAGCAGAGTTATCTCCCCATCACAATAACACACAAACCACAAACAAAGCAGAGTTATCTCCTCATCACAATAATACACAAACCACAAACAAAGCAGAGTTATCTCCTCATTACAATAATACACAAAGCACAAACAAAGCAGAGTTATCTCCTCATCACAATAACACACAAACGACAAACAAAGCAGAGTTATCTCCTCATCACAATAATACACAAACCACAAACAAAGCAGAGTTATCTCCTCATTACAATAATACACAAACCACAAACAAAGCAGAGTTATCTCCTCATCGCAATAACACACAAACGACAAACAAAGCAGAGTTATCTCCTCATCACAATAATACACAAACCACAAACAAAGCAGAGTTATCTCCTCATCACAATAACACACAAACCACAAACTAATCAGAGTTATCTCCTCATCACAATAACACACAAACCACAAACTAATCAGAGTTATCTCCTCATTACAATAATACACAAACCACAAACAAAGCAGAGTTATCTCCTCATCACAATAATACACAAACGACAAACAAAGCAGAGTTATCTCCTCATTATAATAATACACAAACCACAAACAAAGCAGAGTTATCTCCTCATCACAATAACACACAAACCACAAACTAATCAGAGTTATCTCCTCATCACAATAACACACAAACCACAAACTAATCAGAGTTATCTCCTCATCACAATAACAAACAAACCACAAACAAAGCAGAGTTATCTCCTCATCACAATAATACACAAACCACAAACAAAGCAGAGTTATCTCCTCATCACAATAATACACAAACCACAAACAAAGCAGAGTTATCTCCTCATCTAAATAATAATACACAAACCACAAACAAAGCAGAGTTATCTCCTCATCAAATTAATACACAAAACACAAACAAAGCAGAGTTATCTCCTTATTACAATAAACACAAACCACAAACAAAGCAGAGTTATCTCCTCATCACAATAATACACAAACCACAAACAAAGCAGAGTTATCTCCTCATCAAAATAATAATACACAAACCACAAACAAAGCAGAGTTATCTCCTCATCAAAATAATACACAAATCACAAACAAAGCAGAGTTATCTCCTCATCAAAATAATAATACACAAACCACAAACAAAGCAGAGTTATCTCCTCATCAAAATAATACACAAATCACAAACAAAGCAGAGTTATCTCCTCATCAAAATAATAATACACAAACCACAAACAAAGCAGAGTTATCTCCTCATCACAATAATACACAAAACACAAACAAAGCAGAGTTATCTCCTCATCAAAATAATACACAAATCACAAACAAAGCAGAGTTATCTCCTCATCACAATAATACACAAACCACAAACTAATCAGAGTTATCTCCTCATCACAATAATACACAAACCACAAACAAAGCAGAGTTATCTCCTCATCACAATAACACACAAACCACAAACTAATCAGAGTTATCTCCTCATCACAATAACACACAAACCACAAACTAATCAGAGTTATCTCCTCATTACAATAATACACAAACCACAAACAAAGCAGAGTTATCTCCTCATCACAACAATACACAAACCACAAACAAAGCAGAGTTATCTCCTCATTATAATAATACACAAACCACAAACAAAGCAGAGTTATCTCCTCATCACAATAACACACAAACCACAAACTAATCAGAGTTATCTCCTCATCACAATAACAAACAAACCACAAACAAAGCAGAGTTATCTCCTCATCACAATAATACACAAACCACAAACAAAGCAGAGTTATCTCCTCATCACAATAATACACAAACCACAAACAAAGCAGAGTTATCTCCTCATCTAAATAATAATACACAAACCACAAACAAAGCAGAGTTATCTCCTCATCTAAATAATAATACACAAACCACAAACAAAGCAGAGTTATCTCCTCATCAAATTAATACACAAACCACAAACAAAGCAGAGTTATCTCCTTATTACAATAAACACAAACCACAAACAAAGCAGAGTTATCTCCTCATCACAATAATACACAAACCACAAACAAAGCAGAGTTATCTCCTCATCAAAATAATAATACACAAAACACAAACAAAGCAGAGTTATCTCCTCATCAAAATAATACACAAATCACAAACAAAGCAGAGTTATCTCCTCATCAAAATAATAATACACAAACCACAAACAAAGCAGAGTTATCTCCTCATCACAATAATACACAAAACACAAACAAAGCAGAGTTATCTCCTCATTACAATAATACACAAATCACAAACAAAGCAGAGTTATCTCCTCATCACAATAATACACAAACCACAAACAAAGCAGAGTTATCTCCTCATCACAATAATACACAAACCACAAACAAAGCAGAGTTATCTCCTCATCACAATAACACACAAACCACAAACTAATCAGAGTTATCTCCTCATCACAATAATACACAAACCACAAACTAATCAGAGTTATCTCCTCATCACAATAACACACAAACCACAAACTAATCAGAGTTATCTCCTCATTACAATAATACACAAACCACAAACAAAGCAGAGTTATCTCCTCATCACAATAATACACAAACCACAAACAAAGCAGAGTTATCTCCTCATCACAATAATACACAAACCACAAACAAAGCAGAGTTATCTCCTCATCACAATAACACACAAACCACAAACTAATCAGAGTTATCTCCTCATTACAATAATACACAAACCACAAACAAAGCAGAGTTATCTCCTCATCACAATAATACACAAACGACAAACAAAGCAGAGTTATCTCCTCATTATAATAATACACAAACCACAAACAAAGCAGAGTTATCTCCTCATCACAATAACACACAAACGACAAACTAATCAGAGTTATCTCCTCATCACAATAACACACAAACCACAAACTAATCAGAGTTATCTCCTCATCACAATAACACACAAACCACAAACTAATCAGAGTTATCTCCTCATTACAATAATACACAAACCACAAACAAAGCAGAGTTATCTCCTCATCACAATAATACACAAACCACAAACAAAGCAGAGTTATCTCCTCATCACAATAATACACAAACCACAAACAAAGCAGAGTTATCTCCTCATCTAAATAATAATACACAAAGCACAAACAAAGCAGAGTTATCTCCTCATCAAATTAATACACAAACCACAAACAAAGCAGAGTTATCTCCTTATTACAATAAACACAAACCACAAACAAAGCAGAGTTATCTCCTCATCACAATAATACACAAACCACAAACAAAGCAGAGTTATCTCCCCATCACAATAATACACAAAACACAAACAAAGCAGAGTTATCTCCTCATCAATATTAGGGGTGAAACGATACACCTCCTTCACGGTTCGATACGTATTGTATAATTTTGTCTCGGTTCGGTTATTTTCGATACGATACATTTTGATAGAAGGAAACAAATTCAACGTTGTTTTATGCTTTCTTTTTCTAAATCTAGTCACATATTTTACGAATTTTATTTGCAAATTGACTTGAAGAAATTGATTTAAACTATTTGACTGTCAAAAATTATTTTACAAGCTATCAGTCATCAAAAATTTACGTTTTCTATACTTATTTATACTCATAATACTGAGTAACGTGTTTTACCTTATGCCATGCCCGACTGAATAACGATCCCGACCGAAAAATGAACCGAACCGAAAATTAGAGATTTTGCACCGTGTATCAAACCGAGAAAAAATACCGCGGTGAATCGATACCGCGGTGAACCGTTTCACTCCTAATCAATATAATACACAAATCACAAACAAAGCAGAGTTATCTCCTCATCAAAATAATAATACACAAACCACAAACAAAGCAGAGTTATCTCCTCATCACAATAATACACAAAACACAAACAAAGCAGAGTTATCTCCTCATCAAAATAATACACAAATCACAAACAAAGCAGAGTTATCTCCTCATCACAATAATACACAAACCACAAACAAAGCAGAGTTATCTCCTCATCACAATAATACACAAACCACAAACAAAGCAGAGTTATCTCCTCATCACAATAACACACAAACCACAAACTAATCAGAGTTATCTCCTCATCACAATAATACACAAACCACAAACAAAGCAGAGTTATCTCCTCATCACAATAACACACAAACCACAAACTAATCAGAGTTATCTCCTCATTACAATAATACACAAACCACAAACAAAGCAGAGTTATCTCCTCATCACAATAATACACAAACGACAAACAAAGCAGAGTTATCTCCTCATTATAATAATACACAAACCACAAACAAAGCAGAGTTATCTCCTCATCACAATAACACACAAACGACAAACTAATCAGAGTTATCTCCTCATCACAATAACACACAAACGACAAACTAATCAGAGTTATCTCCTCATCACAATAACACACAAACCACAAACTAATCAGAGTTATCTCCTCATTACAATAATACACAAACCACAAACAAAGCAGAGTTATCTCCTCATCACAATAATACACAAACCACAAACAAAGCAGAGTTATCTCCTCATCACAATAATACACAAACCACAAACAAAGCAGAGTTATCTCCTCATCTAAATAATAATACACAAAGCACAAACAAAGCAGAGTTATCTCCTCATCAAATTAATACACAAACCACAAACAAAGCAGAGTTATCTCCTTATTACAATAAACACAAACCACAAACAAAGCAGAGTTATCTCCTCATCACAATAATACACAAACCACAAACAAAGCAGAGTTATCTCCCCATCACAATAATACACAAAACACAAACAAAGCAGAGTTATCTCCTCATCAAAATAATAATACACAAACCACAAACAAAGCAGAGTTATCTCCTCATCACAATAATACACAAAACACAAACAAAGCAGAGTTATCTCCTCATCAAAATAATACACAAATCACAAACAAAGCAGAGTTATCTCCTCATCACAATAATACACAAACCACAAACAAAGCAGAGTTATCTCCTCATCACAATAATACACAAACCACAAACAAAGCAGAGTTATCTCCTCATCAAAATAACACACAAACCACAAACTAATCAGAGTTATCTCCTCATCACAATAATACACAAACCACAAACTAATCAGAGTTATCTCCTCATCACAATAACACACAAACCACAAACTAATCAGAGTTATCTCCTCATTACAATAATACACAAACCACAAACAAAGCAGAGTTATCTCCTCATCACAATAATACACAAACCACAAACTAATCAGAGTTATCTCCTCATCACAATAACACACAAACCACAAACAAAGCAGAGTTATCTCCTCATCACAATAACACACAAACCACAAACTAATCAGAGTTATCTCCTCATCACAATTACACACAAACCACAAACTAATCAGAGTTATCTCCTCATTACAATAATACACAAACCACAAACAAAGCAGAGTTATCTCCTCATCACAATAATACACAAACGACAAACAAAGCAGAGTTATCTCCTCATCACAATAATACACAAACCACAAACAAAGCAGAGTTATCTCCTCATTATAATAATACACAAACCACAAACAAAGCAGAGTTATCTCCTCATCACAATAACACACAAACCACAAACTAATCAGAGTTATCTCCTCATCACAATTACACACAAACCACAAACTAATCAGAGTTATCTCCTCATTACAATAATACACAAACCACAAACAAAGCAGAGTTATCTCCTCATCACAATAATACACAAACCACAAACAAAGCAGAGTTATCTCCTCATCAAAATAATACACAAATCACAAACAAAGCAGAGTTATCTCCTCATCACAATAATAATACACAAACCACAAACAAAGCAGAGTTATCTCCTCATCACAATAATACACAAAACACAAACAAAGCAGAGTTATCTCCTCATCAAAATAATAATACACAAATCACAAACAAAGCAGAGTTATCTCCCCATCAAAATAATACACAAACCACAAACAAAGCAGAGTTATCTCCTCATCAAAATAATAATACACAAACCACAAACAAAGCAGAGTTATCTCCTCATCAAAATAATAATACACAAACCACAAACAAAGCAAAGTTATCTCCTCATCAAATTAATAATACACAAACCACAAACAAAGCAGAGTTATATTTTTTACTTAATGTCAAAAATCTTGATGTTAGCCCATTACAGATGTGTCTTGAGAGAGTAACAATCAACTACTCTGCAAGGGATATGACATTCCCTCTTTTGACACATTCCCTCTTTTTACATTCCCTCTTTTGACACATTTCCTTTTTACCTCATCATCATCCTCCACTTCCTGTAATGCTTGTCTTGCGCTGCGACGTCGCTCTACTCTGGGTTGCTCCGTTTCTCCAAATGCATCATTTAGCAGGTCATTCTTTGTGTCACTGTACACTTCCAGGAGTTCTACTGCATCTTTGAATTCCTGGGAAGATTTCTATGAAAACAGATTTTAGTAAACATTTGCATTACTTTTCCCCTAAATTATAATAAAATAGCAATTTCTATAGTACTGTTCGAACTCAAGTTAATTTTTATACACTTAAAATCATCAACATTTTGTATCATATCTCATAATACATGTACAAACTACCCTGTCAGTAAGCTACCTTGTAATGTGGACTATCTTGTCATGTGGACTATCTTGTAATGTGTACTACCTTGCTATGTAGACTACCTTGTAATGTGTACTACGCAGCTCTGTTAAGGCTGCATAAAGGGGGCGGGGCCTAATTTATACTGGAAAAGTTTACTGTGACATCACACAAATATAGCAATTCCTCACAATAACTGAAAATGAAATAATCTGCGAATCTAAACTGCATAAGAGTAATGAACTACATCAAAACTTACCACTGCATTCATTTTTGTCGCTAGTTAAATCTCACAAAGCAAGATATAAACAAGTCACTGATCGCAATACACTTGTCGACACGACGTCATCATGGTAAAGTTTGACGCATTTTATGTGCAGTGAGAGGCGGATCAAATGATTTTTTCACAGTGAAAAATGCATTTTATTATTAAACAGAATATTATTTGCAAATCTTAGGTAGACCATTAATACAAATCTGAAACCTTTGTTTAGTGCCATTATCTAAAAATTATCGAGAGAATGTATTGAATTAATTCTACCGTGTTTTTGTCTACAGGGTGTGCATGTTTCACGCCGAGGTGCCTCATTAAATCGCCTTTTCGCAAGGGCATACACTAAAAAGATCTTGACCATTTTTTGAATACACATAACGGACATATTCCTTAACTTGAAAAGTGCTGCTGCTTTCCTGAAATCAATAGCATAACTTAATAAATACATAAAATGCTTGGTAAAGGTCACGCATATTTCGACATTAGCAAAATAACTTGAAATTTAAACTAATAAAATGCGAATTTTATTTAAAGCAGCAGCACTTTCCATAAACTACAAGTTATGTAGAAACAATCTATTACTTTAATTTTTAATTTTAACTAGGGTATGCCCTTGCGATATTGAAATTTGTTTGTTACCTACATACAGTACACTTTACATGCATTTATCACGTGACTGTCAAATAACGTGACCAAACCAAATTCAGTACAGAACAGGGTATACAATGTTATTTGAAAGAATTTTAAAGTCATAAGATAATATAGTACCTTTACAAAATTAAAACTCATTTTAAAAAGGTAGGTATTTATGCAAGTTTATATTGTGTTGATTTCTTCGAAGTACGCCTTAACAGTGCTGCATACCTTGTAATGTGTACTACCTTGTAATGTGGACTATCTTATAATGTGGACTTTCTATCTTGTAATGTGTACTATCTATCTTGTAATGTGGACTATTTTGTAATGTGGACTATCTTGTAATGTGGACTATTTATCTTGTAATGTGGACTATCTTGTAATGTGTACTATCTATCTTGTAATGTGTACTATCTTGTAATGTGGACTGTCTTGTAATGTGCATTATCTTGTAATGTGGACTACCTTGTTATGTGGACTATCTTATAATGTGGACTACCTCATAATGTGTACTATCTTGCAATGTGTACTACTTTGTAATGTGGATTATCATGTAATGTGTACTATCTTGTAATCTGGACTATTTTGTAATGTGGACTATCTTGTGATGTGGACTATTTATCTTGTAATGTGTACTATCTTGTAATGTGTACAGTACTATCTATCTTGTAATGTGTACTATCTTGTAATGTGTACTACCTTGTAATGTGGACTATCTTGTAATGTGTACTATCTTGTAATGTGCATTATCTTGTAATGTGCACTATCTTGTAATGTGGACTACCTTGTTATGTTGACTATCTTGTAATGTGGACTACCTTATAATACAACTTGGCATTGTTAACCATCAGTTCTACATCTGTTGTAAGCTGATCAATGTCCTCATATTCCTCCATTTTTAATTTCTGTTGAATTTTACGTAGGTCAATTGGAGTCGCCACCACTTCATAATAATCAGGAACCGCTCTTAAAGAATTTTAACAACACAACATTGAGGCAAATGATACAAGATGCTATTTAGACAAATATTATAGAGATTTAGTTTATCACATATCATTATATGAATGGATGACATATCTATGCAATGAATTCCAAAGCTACACCCCTGTGTATTACCTCCTCTATTAGGTCCTATGAAATACTAACATATTACTGCCTCCATTCAGTATACAACCTCAGGGAATAACCTCCACTGAGGGGCCCTTATGAACATCTCATATATTACCCCCACTAATAATTCAGTATGACTATACAACTCCAGGGAATAACCTCCTCTGTAGGGCCCCAATGAACGTCTTACATATTACCCCCTCTATTCAGTATACAACCCCCTGTGAATTACCTCCTCTGAGGGGCCCTAATGAATGTCTCACATATCAGTCTTCCTTCTTCGTTTTTGTACGTCCTTATTGTCTCATACAACTCTTGACAGATCTCAACCTTGAAATTTCCAAAAAAAAAAGAGTAAGTATACATCATTAATAACAATCAAATTCAGAAAAACTAATTATGATTTTGTTGGATGCATTGACATTTATCTAAACAACTTCAGGTCTTAACAATTATTGTAAAAAAAAGAGTAGTCTAAAACTCTTAACCTGTTTCCTGTTTATAATTACCAGTCTAAAATGACAAAGCAACAAAAATATTCACAATATATAAAGCATTAAATGCCAAATATAATTTTAAAACTTTCTAAAGTCCTATACATTTATATCCATTGTTTTGTTTAGATGATGAATTCTTACTGAGCTATCTGTTTGTGTATCTGTTCACTAGGGGCCTTACTGTGTCATACTTAGCTTTAATTTTACATTTCTATGAGCTTATATTCTTAACGGGTCATACTGAGCTCTGCGTTTACGTGAGCTAGGGGCCTTCGTAGGTCTTACTTAGCCTTTCTATGAGCTTACCGGGTCATACTGAGCTTTGCGTTTGCGTTTCTGTGAACTAGGGGCAGGCGACTCTTCTCTTTCTTCACTCTGTCTCTCACTTCCAATTGTTGATGTTCTCTTCCTTTTTCCAGGCATCATCTGTGGATAAAAGTGAAACTCTAAGGTACTGATATTCATTGACATCTTACTTCTATATCAATTTATGTCAAATCAAACAAATTTCTGTAGCTTTTAATCTTTTTTCTAATACAATTTTATTTCTAGAATTATTGCCCTGATGGTTATAATCAGGAGTCATCTAACAAACTGTTACAATAAATTTATTGTGGAAAATATGTTGTAGGACCAGGGATAGGGGTTTTTCTCATGGCAGACAACTTAATACATGCTGTCAATGTTCACATTTCTTTCCTGGACGACACTCATCAGTGAAGAGATTCACTTGATTTGCTGCTTTCCTCTGATAACCATAACTTAAGGAGTTAGGTAAGTTAAGTTATGTAAGTTAATGTAAAGCAAGTTAAGTAGTTAACCCTTTCCTGGGGAATTTACACAAGATTTCTCTGTCTGACACTAACTTATGCCCTGGTGTCAAACATCCCCCAGAGTCCTGTTTGCTGAAGCCAGAGGAAAAATGACATAAGTCTAGACCGTGTATTGCTAACATTCACTAGACACTGCAAATGGATGAACTATGCGTGTAACGCTTTCTTGCGCTGGTATAGTTTGCTTGAAAATCGATAAACAATTTCAGCGCGTCTAAAACAAAGGAGACATCATTATCTGGTAAGCATTTTCCGAGTCTTGCAAACGGCAATTTTATTCTTCCAACTCAAGGAAAGAAAATTGAGGTGAATCCTATACTCACGTGTGTTAATGAACAGCTGGAAGTCTACATTAAGGGCTGCATTGTATTTATTATTTTTCTGTATTCTAAATTCGGTGTGAGTGCAAATCCCGGGAATGAAAACGATGGTCTTGGTCTTCCAAGTGTTTGGATAAAATGTAAAATTCAAAACCCGTACGACCTTTTATCCGGATTTCCACGCAACCACTCTCCCCATCCGCTAAAAAATAAAGAAATATAAATGATAAGTTTTTGTTTTGGTAAAAAAAAACAACAACTCAGTTCTTCTTTTATTAAGCAGATAATATTAATGCAAGTGAACCAATTCAGACCTGATCACCTGAAGCGCGACCGTTAGGGATGTTCGATTTGTAAAAGTGAAACTGAAAGTAGTTCACACGTCAAAGTGGCCTCAGTGGGAGTTTATGGTAACATATGTGTCCAATCGTAGCTAATTCAGCTGTGATGCAAACCCAATGTCAACAGACACAGATAGTGAAGATATCGAACTATTTAACATGACCTCGGAAAAGCGTCCGCTAGTACCAGAAGGAAGTGTCGTTTATGAGACAGTCGACTCCACAACGCACGTGCAGAATGGGCACACCCCTGGAGAGACCCCGGGGACACCAAAGTTTATCTATATCCTGTCTTTTTTTGCTGCCATTGGAGGGTTTTTGTTTGGATATGATACAGGTGTTGTGTCGGGAGCCATGCTTCTCCTTCAGCCGGAGTTTAAGCTTGACTCTGTGTGGGAGGAGATGGTCGTGAGTGCCACTATTTTGTTTGCCTGTATCTTCGCCTTGGTAGGCGGGCCTCTAAACGACAGGTTTGGTAGAAAAGCAGTAACCGTGACAGCCAGTCTCGTTTTTACTGGTGGAGCCGTGCTGCTTGGTGTCGCACAGAACAAGATTATGTTATTGATCGGGAGAAGTATTTTGGGGGTTGGAATTGGTAAGTCTATAACATGAATAATTACAGAGGAGAAGAAAAAAGTATTACTAAATGAGAGCCCAAGTGGGTGCATTAAAACAAGAGTAATAACACATGTATATTAGCAGCATATAATGCAATACTAATGTGGTATTGTAAGATACATAGCATAGTCGGGGTTAAACCTTTAGCTCAAATGGTAGAGCTTGACTGGCATGCCAGAGGTCTGGGTTCAAATCCATTTGGAGGAACATATCTCTGTTACACTTATACCATTTGCTCTGACACTTAATTGATTTATAATTAAATGTAAGCATGATAAGACAGTATATAATTACAATATGTCACAGGGTTGCAAGTAACCACTCCCCCACTAGCAAATGCTAGTAATTTTGCCTGTGGGCAACCAGATCTGAAGGATGTAATCACCCACATGGCGAGTAAGAATTTTATCAGAACCTTTCCAGAACCTGACCATGCTTCGATTCTACAAATAAATGCACTTTCATTTTCACTGTTTCCCTTCCTACAAAATGTTTTCAAGACCCTTAATCACCTTAACATTATAACTTTATGAGGTCTCAAAAATGAAGGAAATGATGCAATGTCATTCATTCATGGTGTCAAAATCATCAGGGAAATGAAAGACTGTGGACAGCAAAGTATCTCAGAGATTAAAATACAAAGATTGTGAAAGATTTTTATAAAGTGATGAGAAAATTGTGGGCCCTAAAATAATAATGTGGGCTACCTGGTAGTTAAACTTTGAAGTGGGGGGGGGGGGGGGCACATGCCCCTAAGGTTTTAAATGTTATTTGCAACCCTGTAGGACTCACACAATCATTGGAAAGCATCCTAAGTAGATTTGTGTATAGAAAAACAAATACTAGGGTCATTTATAAGAGGTCCACTTTGCTTATTGCAGTTTGTAGAGGCACATGATGTTCAAGTGTTTACTCACACATACATGCATGGTAGTCATAACACATCTGTTTTGTTGTCCTTTATAAAGCTAAAGATCTCAGCACTTTAATTTGATTTTTGGAGCATTGGATAGTTGCACAGTTTATCATTTTGTGTTAGATTTAGTCTGAAAATTAAGTTATATGCAAACCATTGATAAACTTGAAAACACATTTATCATGTTTTTATCAGTTAATGACTCTAAACTCTGAATGATACAAAGATTTTTTTTTAAACTAAATTATTCTCAAAAACTATCTTGACAGGGCTGGCATCCATGACTGTCCCAGTGTATATAGCAGAGTGTGCCCCAATCCATCAACGTGGTCGACTTGTTACTATAAATAACCTCTTCATCACCGGCGGTCAGTTTGTGGCCAGTGTTCTGGACGGAGCATTCAGTTACGACAAGAAAAATGGCTGGAGGTACGATAGAAAATTTTATCTGTGTCTTTCTTTTTAGCCAAAATAATTTTATCTTTTTAACTTATATCTTTAAAATGTGGAATTATTCAGAGTCATAAAAATAAAATATGTAATATTTAAAGTTATTGCATATAAGAAATGTTTGGAAAGTAGAATTGTTAGCTACCAGTATTTTGCAAAATCTGAACATTATAATTGCAAGTTCAGACTGGTGAATAGTTCATGTATTTAAAGATGAAGTGATTATAGACTTATTACAGACAGGTAAGTGTTATTGTTTTATTTATAGATGGATGCTGGGATTGGCAGCTGTACCATCTGCAATTCAGTTCATAGGCTTTCTTTTTCTACCAGAAAGTCCAAGATGGTTGATAAAACAAGGCAGGATAAATGAGGGTCGTGAAGTTTTACAGAAATGTCGCGGAACAATAGATGTAGAGGAGGAGCTAAATGCTGTCAGAGAATCGTGTGAGGAGAACAGGAGGATGATGGACGACGCAGGTGAGATTTAGGAGTTGAGTGCTGTGAGGGAGTCATGTGAGGTTTGAGGAGTTGAGTGCTGTGAGGGAGTCATGTGAGATTTAGGAGTTGAGTGTTGTGAGGGAGTCATGTGAGGTTTGAGGAGTTGAGTGTTGTGAGGGAGTCATGTGAGGTTTGAGGAGTTGAGTGTTGTGAGGGAGTCATGTGAGGTTTGAGGAGTTGAGTGTTGTGAGGGAGTCATGTGAGGTTTGAGGAGTTGAGTGCTGTGAGGGAGTCATGTGAGGTTTGAGGAGTTGAGTGCTGTGAGGGAGTCATGTGAGGTTTGAGGAGTTGAGTGTTGTGAGGGAGTCATATGAGGTTTGAGGAGTTGAGTGCTGTGAGGGAGTCATGTGAGGTGAGGTTTGAGGAGTTGAGTGCTGTGAGGGAGTCATGTGAGGTGTGGTGTGAGGAGTTGAGTGCTGTGAGGGAGTCATGTGAGGTGAGGTTTGAGGAGTTGAGTGCTGTGAGGGAGTCATGTGAGGTGTGGTGTGAGGAGTTGAGTGCTGTGAGGGAGTCATGTGAGGTGAGGTTTGAGGAGTTGAGTGCTGTGAGGGAGTCATGTGAGGTGAGGTTTGAGGAGTTGAGTGCTGTGAGGGAGTTGTGTGAAGTGACTGTGAGGGAGTTGTGTGAAGTGAGGTGTGAGGAGCTGATCACTTTACTGGAGTCATTTGTTGCTCTGAGGGAGTCGTATGTGGAAAATCAGAGGATGAGTGAGGAGACAGTTGAGGTTTGAGGGAGAGTGTCAGAGGATGAGTGAGGAGACAGTTGAGGTTTGAGGGAGAGTGTCAGAGGATGAGTGAGGAGACAGTTGAGGTTTGAGGGAGAGTGTCAGAGGATGAGTGAGGAGACAGTTGAGGTTTGAGGGAGAGTGTCAGAGGATGAGTGAGGAGACAGTTGAGGTTTGAGGGAGAGTGTCAGGTCATCTCACACACATCAGTAAGTGTAATGGACTTCTGCAAGGTTGAAACATCATACAATACTGCTACACAACAACCTTTTTTTACTCCAGTAAATTTTTCTTTAATATTACAATGTCAGGAAACTAGCCCTGACCAATTTATCTGTGCCTGAATTATGTTGTGATGAAGTATGGTAAATGGTTGGGCATTCTATGAATCATGTCTTCATTTCTGACTAGAGAATACAACATTACTCTATATAAAATGAGAAGAATACAATATGTACCTATTCTTTGTACAGGAAGTGAGAACGTCTTCCTGAAGATCCTGCGGACTCCAGCGGTCAGACGAGCCGTCCTGGTGGGGAGTGGACTACAGCTCATACAACAAGTCAGTGGAATCAACACCGTCATGTAAGACAATTACAAAGACTGACATTTCTACCTAGATATAAGCAGTATCTCATAAGTCAAAAGACTAACCCTCCATAAGTAAAAAAAACTAACCCTCAAGTTAGACAACTCCTCATGAAACACTGTGGCTTATTATGAATAATATCATGAGAGTTCAATGCTAACTCTCAGATAAAGCTATTCCTCAGATGAGACTGTGGCTAAGTATAAAATTCTATATCCAGAATTATTTTCCTTTTTAAATCCAACATATAAAAAGGTACATGTTTTCATTATGGCTTTCCTGAGTTCTCATTTGTTTATACAGGTATTATAGTGCCACTATAATTAAGATGTACCTGTAGATTACCTGTAAATTATCTGAGTTCTCTTTTATTTATACAGTTATTATAGTGCCAGCATAATTAAGATGTACCTGTAGATTACCTGTAAATTATCTGAGTTCTCTTTTATTTAAACAGTTATTATAGTGCCATAATAATTAAGATGTACCTGTAGATTACCTTTAAATTATTTGAGTTCTCTTTTATTTATACAGTTATTATAGTGCCAGCATAATTAAGATGTGCCTGTAGATTACCTGTAAATTATCTGAGTTCTCTTTTATATATACAGTTATTATAGTGCCAGAATAATTAAGATGTACCTGTAGATTACCTGTAAATTATCTGAGTTCTCTTTTATTTATACAGCTATTATAGAGCCAGAATAATTAAGATGTACCTGTAGATTACCTGTAAATTATCTGAGTTCCAATTTTGTTTATACAGGTATTATAGTGCCACTATAATTAAGATGACTGGCGTACGTGACACGAGCCTTGCGATCTGGTTGGCTGCGGTGACGGCGGGGGTTAATTTTATCTTCACAATCCTTGGAGTCTGGTTGGTGGAGAGAATTGGTCGAAGACCTCTGATACTGGGCAGTCTACTGGGTAATATAGAGAAATACTGGGCAGACTACTGAGTAATATACAGAGAAATACTGGGCAGTCTACTGGGTAATATACAGAGAAATACTGGGCAGTCTACTGGGTAATATACAGAGAAATACTGGATAGTCTACTAGGTAATATACAGAGAAATAATGGGCAGTCTACATGGATCGGTTGTCCGATTGCCCGGGACAAGTAAATTCTCAGTTCGGGCAAGTGAAATTGTCTACGTACTTGTCCGATCGGGCAAGTGAATTTTTCTCATACAAATGTACATATTTATTTAGTTTACATTAATTATCCACACACACCTGGATGACAATGTTTTTGCATTGGAAATTCCTTGGTAGCGTTTCTGGGTTATACCGTTCATTTAAAAATCGGGTTCATTATTTTCTTTCGTAGTAAATACGCTCTACGTCTAACAAAAATTTTGTTAACTTCTTATAAGGAAATTAGATTTTTTATTCACGCACAGAATATAAGTACAGGGTAACACGATGTATCCTGATCAAGATAAGATGTATGTTTAGCAACTAACTCCCTTTAGCGTTGCTTCACAGTTATCTCCGGAAGTCACGATTCACAAAAGGATCCTACCGAAAATAATTTTTTAAAAATATGAATTTTATGAAAAGGAAACAGAAAGGATGTTGCTGCATGAAAGTGTGTATTAAAAGGTTAAATTCACAAGTACAGTGGTATATATTTATGTACAGATGCGGCATCAAAATTTTTTTTCAGGTAGCTCAACTTGCCAAATTGACAGTAGTGTATTTGGTCACATTTTTTCTTATAATAACATTTATAGTAATTAATAATAATGCCCGAAGGGCAAGTGAATCTGAAAGTTAATGTCTATCCCTGGTCTACTTGGTAATATAGAAATAATGGGCAGTCTACTGGGTAATATACAGAGAAATACTGGGCAGTCTACTGGGTAATATACAGAGAAATACTGGGTAATATACAGAGAAATAATGGGCAGTCTACTTGGTAATATATACAGAGAAATACTGGGCAGTCTACTGGGTAATATTCAGAGAAATACTGGGCAGTCTACTGGGTAATATACAGAGAAATAATGGGCAGTCTATTGGGTAATATACAGAAGAATACTGGGCAGTCTACTGGGTAATATTCAGAGAAATACTGGGTAGTCTACTGGGTAATATACAGAGAAATAATGGACAGTCTACTGGGTAATATACAGAGAAATACTGGGCAGTCTACTGGGTAATATACAGAGAAATAATGGGCAGTCTACTTGGTAATATACAGAGAAATACTGGGCAGTCTACTGGGTAATATACAGAGAAATACTGGGCAGTCTATTGGGTAATATACAGAGAAATAATGGGCAGTCTATTGGGTTATGTACAGAGAAATACTGGGCAGTCTACTGGGTAATATTCAGAGAAATACTGGGTAGTCTACTGGGTAATATACAGAGAAATAATGGACAGTCTACTGGGTAATATACAGAGAAATACTGGGCAGTCTACTGGGTAATATACAGAGAAATAATGGGCAGTCTACTGGGTAATATACAGAGAAATATTGGCAGTCTACTGGGTAATATACAGAGAAATACTGGGCAGTCTATTGGGTAATATACAGAGAAATAATGGGCAGTCTATTGGGTAATATACAGAGAAATACTGGGCAGTCTACTGGGTAATATTCAGAGAAATACTGGGTAGTCTACTGGGTAATATACAGAGAAATAATGGAAAGTCTACTGGGTAATATACAGAGAAATACTGGGCAGTCTACTGGGTAATATACAGAGAAATAATGGGCAGTCTACTTGGTAATATACAGAGAAATACTGGGCAGTCTACTGGGTAATATACAGAGAAATACTGGGCAGTCTACTGGGTAATATACAGAGAAATATTTGGCAGTCTACTGGGTAATATACAGAGAAATGTAGCATTCATGTCTATTAAGAAGACCTTTGAGACTCGGCAGTATACAAAGAAATGTAGCATTCTTGTCTAATAATGTGCAATATTACAATTCACAGGCATGGCCTAGTAACTTTTCAACAGGAATAACAATTTCTATGTTAATATTAAACAAGAGGTCCAGGAATATCATTTGATTTCAAGCAATTACAAATTTTAGATCCTGGATCCATAAGACTTGAATTTTACAATTTTGCTAAATAGCTAACTGCTCATTATAATCACATAAACAGTTTGCCTGCTTGATGTTCATGAGTATATTGGAAGATTTTTAAAAGTGTATTGTGTTTAGTACAGTATGCATGTATAACCAAATTAGCCCCATCCTGGCCTTGAATCCTGGCTCTGAGGAATAAAATATGACAGTTATCTATATTAAGTTTGTATTTGTGTCAGTTTGCTTGGTATGTCTTATTAGTTATCCTGGTTCAATCTTATAAGTTATCCAGGTTCAATCAAGGGTGTACAAGGATTTGTTCTGGGTTGTATTCAATACACCCTGAGGAATAAGTTAGTTAGCCAGGTGGTGCTAGCTATATTGTAACAGTTATCTTTGTTTGTAGGTGTGTTAGTTAGCCAGGTGGTGCTAGCTATATTGTAACAGTTATCTTTGTTTGTAGGTATGTTAGTTAGTCAGGTGGTGCTAGCTATATTGTAACAGTTATCTTTGTTTGTAGGTGTGTTAGTTAGCCAGGTGGGTCTAGCTGTATTGTAACAGTTATCTTTGTAGGTGTGTTAGTTAGTCAGGTGGTGTTAGCTATATTGTAACAGTTATCTTTGTTTGTAGGTGTGTTAGTTAGCCAGGTGGTGCTAGCTATATTGTAAGTTTGTAACTGTTAACTATCTGTGTTTGTAGGTGTGTTAGTTAGCCTTTTTGGTGTTTGCTATATTGTAACTGTTAACTGTAATTGTTTTTAGGTATGTTAACCTGCTGGGTCTAGCTATATTGTAACTGTTAACTGTAATTGTTTTTAGGTATGTTAGCCTGGTGGGTCTAGCTGTATTGTAACTGTTATCTTTGCTTTAGGTGTGTTAGTTAGCCAGGTGGTGCTAGCTATATTGTAACAGTTATCTTTGTTTGTAGGTATGTTAGTTAGTCAGGTGGTGCTAGCTATATTGTAACAGTTATCTTTGTTTGTAGGTGTGTTAGTTAGTCAGGTGGTGCTAGCTATATTGTAATGGTTATATATCTTTGTAGGTGTGTTAGTTAGCCAGGTGGTGCTAGCTATATTGTAACTATTAACTATCTGTGTTTGTAGGTGTGTTAGTTAGCCTTTTTGGTGTTTGCTATATTGTAACTGTTAACTGTAATTGTTTTTAGGTATGTTAGCCCTGTGGTTCTAGCTGTATTTAACTGTTAACTCTGTCTTTGCTTTAGGTGTGTTAGTTAGCCTGGTGGTGCTAGCTGTAGGGTTTCAGTTAGCTGCCTTCCATTCACCACCTGTGACCTTCACTGAGTCCAATGGTTCCTGCTCATCTTACAGGTAAATTATAATGGAGTATTCTATGTTGAATTCTATATAATATTTTAAAAAAAACATTTTAGCCAGTCACATTTATTATCTTTTGCAATGACTGATTATTCTTCACTGTGTTGGCCCAAGGTTGTTTTTAATTTCAGTTGGTGTGAAGACTGCACAGAAAATAAGCATTGTGGATTTTGTTACGTTGAACTCGGGAAATCCAGGGTAAATGGGTCATGTGTTGCTGTGGCGACCAACCTTACAGATGGGGCAGCGTGGGGTCGTTGTGACTCAGACTCTCTACCCCCCAATCTTGTATGGGCCAGTGATTACTGCCCCACAGACTACTCGTGGATGGGACTCCTGGGTTTAGTCTTGTACCTCATGTTTTTTGCCCCTGGTAAGACTATAAAATGCATAAACAAATTTGAATTTGATTACATGTAGGTTTTTAACACTGTGATATTCTTTATGAATTCTAGGAATGGGTCCAATGCCGTGGACTATAAACTCAGAAATTTATCCTTTGTGGGCCAGAAGTATGGGAAATGCAATCTCCACGGCAACCAACTGGATTTTCAATTTGGCGGTCGCTATGACTTTCCTAACACTGACAGAGAGTATAACTAAGTATGGTGAGTGACAGAGAGTATAACTAAGTATGGTGAGTGACAGAAGTATTACTAAGTATGAATGGGTAAGAATGACAGAGCACTACATATTGTCTCCTTTAAGAGAAATGCTTCCAAAGTTTAAAACTGTTCATTATTATTATTGTTATCTTTTACAGGCACTTACTGGTTGTTTGTGGGGATTGTTTTCTGTGGATTCCTGTTTATTGTGGCAGCTTTACCAGAGACTAAAGGTAAAAGTCTAGAGGAAGTAGAGACTCTGTTCCAGGGATCCGTGTGTCCGGGCTTCTCCAGGAAATTACACAAAACACAGAATTCCACGTAACACGAAACCAGACGCTTCTCCAAGAAATCACACAAAACACAGAATTTGACGTAACGTAGAACCAGACCCTTCTCCAAGAAATCACACAAAACACAGAATTTGATGTAACACGGAACCAGATGCTTCTCCAAGAAATCACACAAAACTCAGAATTCCAGGTAACATGGAACCAGACACTTCTCCAAGAAATCACACAAAACACAGAATTCCACGTAACACAGAACCAGGCCATGCTCCAAGAAATCACACAAAACACAGAATTCGATGTAACACAGAACCAGGCCCTTCTCCAAGAAATCACACAAAACATAGAATTCCACGTAACATGGAGAGGGAACTAGGCATTCAAACATAAAAGTTGGAACCAGTTTAATGTAATAAAAATCTGCTGGACTTGGTGATATTCTGGTGTACAATGAGTAATGCTCAGTGCTTAATTCAGATCTCAGAGATGTAGTTGTAACGTGCAATAACTACTTAACATATTGTATACACAATGCCATTATTCTATATTCTATGCATTCCATGTGCCTCATCTCTTCAGAGCTGGGGAGTAACTATTTTACCACTGTCTTTCTGTGAGAGATATTTTGTGTCATACATTTTTTAAAATGCATTTTCTCATTATTTTAGATGTGATAATTTTAGTTAATTTATTAATGTTTTTATGTATAGCTGATATTTGAGATAAAAGGTACAATACTGATTTTTCTGTGAACAGGTAAATAATATGTTCAGCTAGTAGATACCCGGTATATAATTCTGCTAGATACTGTAAATTTACTTAATTCATTAACAGTGATCATATTTAATTAGGACCTTTCTGTGTTGCTTATTGTCCACTAGTTCAAGTACATGCTAGTATATAATTAACACAAAGACGCAAAAGGTTGGCTCAAAATGCATGAAATTAAGATTAATACACTAGTCCGTTGATGAGAAAGACTGCACTATAAATTTGAGTGTGCTAATTTCTGTAAGTTTACAGTATCATGCTACTTTCACTTTCTATATGCCATGTAAAAATTTCATGTGCCTTTATTATTATGCCCCCACTTGAAAAGCTGGGATATATAGTGATGGGGGGGGGGGGGGCAGGGGGGGTGTCCATCCTTTATGCTAAGGAGTACCCATCTCTTATCTACAACTCCTCCTAGTATACCAATGAATAAAATTTAATGAGACTTTCACAGAATCTTTATAACATAGTGCCATTGTGCACCTCCTATTTTACACTTTGATTGGACACATATTTGGAGTTTCCCATAGCAAAACATGGACACTGCCATTCTTTCTACTATACTGAGGGTACCGATTTCAAATTTAATGAAATTTTCCCATAATCTTTGTTACATTGGGCACCTCCTATTTTACATATTGATGAGAAACATTTTTTTAGTGTTTCCTATAGCAAAACATGGCCTCTGTCATTATTTCTATAGTATTGGGGGTACCCATTTCTTATTCTCAACTCCTCCTATATCACTGAATAAAATTTAATATGACTTTTCCAGAATCTTTATTACATTATAGAGCTATTTTGCAGCCATTTCAAGTTTTGAACAGACACATATTTGGATCGACTTTCCCATAGCAAAACATGGACTTTGCCATTATATGGGAGTGGGGGTATCATTTTGTGAGCTCAGTGCTTGCAGTACCTCATGCATCAAGACCATAGGAATAATATCAAGAGGATCGTCTTGTATGTACATGTAAAATCATTGCATTCCATACTTATTCTTTCTTGTGACTTCTGTTACAAATTTTTTTTTCTTTACCCCATGCAAAATAACATAATTATTTATAATAAAGTCAATCCCTGTTATCTCAAACTCGAAGCCAGAAGACTTCGAAATATCCGATGATTCAAGATATTGTGGTCAAAATATTAAGGATGTCAATTTCACTCCAACAAATACAAGTATTTGGATGTTTTCGTGGAACGAGTACTCATTAAAATATTTTTTTGTGTGTCAGTATGTCGGGTTTTCTTATTTATAGAATGGTACAATACTTATTCCATGCTACCATACTCAATATTTCATGTAAAAATAAATATTTGAACTTAATGTATTTGATTTCAAATTTATTTTTTTAACTGCATATATTATCGAAATAAGCTTTTCAAGACGTTCGTTTGTCCTCTTTAATTACGTTTATATGAAACAGGAAAAAAACTCCAGTAAATTACACACACATCACAGATGTATGCACATGACAGTCTAGAAAAACTCCCGAGAAGGAGTTACCGGAAGTAAGAAATTGAGACTAAAAAAGATGCCGAAAATAGAGTCTGCGTATGCGCACAAGCATTAAAAATGTCTATTTTTCGGTCAAAAACAAGGGTCTACAATAGCTGTCTGTGCAAATTGTTGGATTGATTGATTGATTGTATGTTGTTTAACGTCCCATTCGAGAATTTTTCACTCATATAGAGACGTCACCATATACCGGTGAAGGGCTTCAAATTTTGACCTTTACTCGGCACTCGGGGCCATTGAGCAGTGAGGGATCTTTATCGTGACAACGACTGCTGTGACACGGGGCCTCGGTTTTTAAGGTCTCATCCGAAGGACCCGCAACTTTCACTTCAAAGTGCCGAGCGCATGGTGAAGGAACAGTTGCTACCCATTTTTTATCGACTTAGGTCGGTCGCGGCCGAGATTCGAACTCACGACCTTCCGATCACGGAGCGAGCGCTCTACCGACTGAGCTACCTTAAACGGTTGCATATTGTTGGACTGTATTTTACAGCTGACTCAGAATTAAGGTTTTCTGTTCTATATATGATGAGCAAGCCTTACATATAGTTTGAGTTACATATGGGTTACCTGTTTATTGGTCATGAGAGGCTAAAACATACAATACACGCAATTACTGAAAGCAATCTGACGTTTTTATTCACTATGACAAAAAACAGCAAAATTTAGAGTTGAAGAAGATTTAATATCGCTAACCAACGGCACTTGATGGACAGTCGATAACGCCCCTCCGGCACGTGCAGGTCACGCCCCCACGTTGTATGTGATCCCCATCTCTGTATAACCTAACAAAGGAAACCATCACCTCATTAAAATAAGCACATTACAACACGATCCAAGTCGGAACGCAGATTGACTTACATTCCCCCCTCGGTGCAGGTGCCCGCTTGGAAAGGGTCACCTCCGGCGAATGGGTCCCCGCCTGTAATCGAGAAGGGGGTGGAGCTTACACTCCCCGGGGTCCCCGTGCACTCTGTCATGTTCTTGACGCGGAGATGGTAAGCGTTCACCCAACCAACCTATAAAGGGGGAAAATGAGAACTCAAGATAATTATACTCAGTGGCAAATCCTCCAAGTTAAATGACAAATATACATTGAAGAAATCCTATTTTTTAGATTGCTATAATAGGTATTACCTCATTTTGGACATTGAGAAGTTCGTACCAAGTGGCACCAAATATGTGTAGAAAGCCACCCTTTGTGACGAAACAATCATTATCGTGTAGAACTGCTAGGACTTTGTGTTCTTCTCCAGCTATTGAAATAAAAAAAATTGAAATGTCAATGTCTCTACTATTGTACAAATATATACATGCATGTTGTTTAAGCACCACAGTTGTAGAATGTAGATAGTGTTCGATAGACGTGATTTTAGCAAGAGTTATTTCCCGTTGGTTGCCATATTGGAGGTCAACAAGCCCAACTTATAACTTTTCTATCGTCATCTTTCCTTATTTAAGTAGCAATTATCACCTATATATATGGAGTTTATGTTCCCCAGTTGATTTAATATGGAAGAGTATGCTCTTCGTACGAACACTTTCTAAAACAAGGCAGGCTGTTGACAAATAAATATTAACAATCTCGTTTAAGTCCACATTTCGCATATTCTATGGTCGAAACAATGACATTGTTAGCAAATACAATCTATCATCAAGTCGAATGTTGACTGTCGTCTTTCATACAAATTGTTACAACATTATTTTCCCACTGAATTTTCTACGGATTTTCCCGTTTACTCAGTCATGACAAGGAGCACATTGCGAGTGTAATAGGTCCACAGGGGATGCTTACTCCTTCATTGCACCTGATTCTACCTCTGTTTTCAGAGTTACATATGCTGGCTTTGCTCATAATTTGTATCGAACTGTTAAATTGTTGGAATGAATTTTTGAGACTGATCACTGTTCCATATCTTCACATTTCATTCCTATTGATATAAAAACATCTCAAATTTAGTAACAAAGTTAAAGTCTGTTCAAACCTTGGCTTCTTGTTCAGATCTTAATAGAGAATTAAAATCTTATAAAAGAATATGAAAAATTATAAAAATTCGATTTCTCTAGACAAGCAAGACCAGGAAAACTATCCTGGTCTTGCTGGTCTAGAGAAATCGAATCTTCAGATGAGTGGTATGGTCCATGGGCTTTTATATAGCAGCCATAGAATTAGCTTTAATGAAAATTGATGGAAAATAAATTTTGGTTTAAAGAAGTGTACAAAGATTGACGCACTAAATTAGCCAACGATTAAAGAGAAAAAAATTGAAAGAATATAAAACATTATTCTATTTTGATTACAATTGTAACACTGTTTATTGAAAATAAAATTCGACATAAGGAATACTGCATCTTGATTTAGTCAACTTGCGTACCAAGTTTCATTGAAATCTGCCTGAAACTAAATGAGCAGAGGCGATGCACAGAATTATGAGCTTATTTAAGTCCCCTCTACCAAATTTTAATCAAACGGGTAACTGGACAAATACTGTGATCCAATCCGGACCAGGACGAGGGGGGGGGGGGGGGATTGATCAATGCTCATATAAGACGATGTGCCATTTTGGCGGTGGAATAAAAAATCTTATCCCTCATCCATTAAACTGGCATACAGAACCATAAAATTCGATGCGATCCTATTTGATAACCTTACCTTAACTTGGGTCATGTAAGAATTTTAATTTATCAGACTATTTTATTAGTTCTTTGAATTAAAAGTGGTCTCTATAAACTTTGAAGTGAACAGCATTTAACAATAGGCATTGGTTTATCGCATATACAACAAACCTTCCAATATATAAAGAAAAAACTGTACAATTTCCCTACAATTCGTATACTAATTACGAAATGTCATTATAAAGCTGTCAACAGTGGCCCATACAGAATCTAAAGATCTTCCCACTTACGACCGTCCCTGGCGTAAATATCGTTGTCCGCTACACACAGACAGAGCCCCCTCCGTAACGTGTCGTGAATCGTGGCGCCCCCTACACTCCCTACCAACAGAAGAAACAGCCCCAGTGTTGTCATGACATCTACAAAAGTACTAACATGACCTCTATAAAGTACTGACGTGACCTCTAGTAGATAAAGACGTAGTCCAGCAGACACGGGACTTTCTCTTATCTTTCTGCAGTGTTCCATGTCGTAGGAATTGTTACACAGAAAGTACATTGACATGGAGTGCAGGTTTATATCGAGTCAACTGTGAAAAAGTGATTACAATTTCCGGAAGTACTATAGTACCAGCCTGTCCCTATTCGTCAAATCATATCAACCTTGCAGCTTTAGAGAATTACTTTGTTGCATTGATTATATATCAGCTGCACAGCTTTTGAGTATTACTATATAGTATAGATCATATCAGCTACGCAGCTTTTAAGCATTACTATGTTGAATATATCATATCAGCTGCGCAGCTTTGGAGCATGATTATGTTGAATAGATATTATCAGCTGCTAAACTTTGGAGCACTACTTTTTTGTATTAATAATATAGCAGCTGGGCAGCTTTGGAGCATTTCTTTGTTGTATAAATAATATCAGATGCGCAGCTTTGAAGCATGACTTTGTTGTATAATTATATCAGCTGCTAAGCTTTGGAGCATTACTATGTAGAATAGATCATATAAGCTGCCCAACTTTGAAGCATATCTTCTTTGTATAAATATTATTAGCTGCGCAGCTTTGGAGCATTACTGCTCATATCAGCTGCCCACCTTTGGAGCATGACTATGTTATATAAATCATATTAGCTGCGCATTATTATTTTGTGTAAATATCAGTTGTCCAGTTTTGAAGCTTAACTTTGATGTATATTATGACTTTACCAGCTGCTAAGCTTTGAAGCACTCATTTTTTGTATAGATAATATCACCTGTGCAGCTTTGGAGCATAACTGTTATATAAATCATATTAGCTGCACAGCTTTGGGGCACTACTTTGTTGTATAGATTTTACCAGCTGTGTAGCTTTGGAGCATATGTTGTATAAATCACATGAGCTGCACAGCTTTGGAGCACTACTTTGTTGTATATAGATTTTATCAGCTGTGCAGCTTAAATTTTAAGCTTTACCGAGTTGTATTGTATTAGCTGTCCAGCTTTGGAGCATTATCGTGTTGTATAGTACATGTATATAACAGCTGCTAAGCTTTGAAGCACTTTTTTTCCTGTATAGATTATATCAAAAACCCATCTTTGAAACATTACTTTGTATCTATCATATAAGCATCGCAGCTTTGGAGCATTACTTTGTTGTAATTAGATTAATATTCATCGTCTTGTTCTATCTTAATTTGGATCAAGAAGTTTTTTAACTCCATGTTTTCTCGTTCACTGATCACCGTCACGGAAGCTCAGTCGGTAGAGCGCTTGCTCCGTGATCAGAGGGTCATGAGTTCGAATCTCGGCCGCGACTGACCTAAGTCGATAAATAATAGGTAGTAACTGTTCCTTTGCCAAGTGCTCGGCACTTTGAAATGAAAGTTGCGGGTCCTTTGTCACGGCAGGCGTTGGAACGATAAAGAACCCTCACTGCTCAATGGCCCCGAGGGCCGAGTAAAGGTCAAAATTTGCAGCCCTTCACCGGCATATGGTGACGTCTCTGAGTGAAAAATTCTCGAATGGGACATAAAACAACAATCAATCAGTCAATCTAATTCACTGATCAAAATTCAACATCAATATCAGGAAATGGTTAGTCCTTACAATCATCATTGAAAATTGTATAAATACTTAGAATGAATGGACCTTTCACCTGTACTCAACTATTGCTCCATGACATACTCATGAATTTTATAAAATCAGAAAATAGATTCGAATGATTTTTTATATGGTTTACCAGTATATAATTATGCTGAAATACTGATTAAATTTCAAAGCGAGTCTGGTCATAGATACTGAATGGGTAAGAGGTAATGGTTATGGTATCCATTTTCTTCTTATATTTCATATAGATTATATAATAGAATTTATAATATATTCATTTTAGAATTAATCAATACAGTTTACGGGTTAATGTCTCTTGCCGTAATCATCATAAAGTATTAACAATAGCAGAAACATGTCATAACATTTAGTTTAATGAGAATAGTATGACAAAAATATTTAATGCTGCTTTAAACAATGGTAATAGACAAAAAAAGAATTTGTTTAAAAAATGTTCCTTTGCATTCAAGTAAAGGTTCATCAGCAACAGAATATTAAGTAGAAAAAAAGAAATGAAAAAAATAAACATGTAAAAAAAAAAAAAAGATGTAACCACCAAAGAATTAAATATAAAATATTCTTGGTTTATAAATAAATTAGAGATAACATAAACAAATAAAAAGAAATAGACCATAGTCTTTTGTGTATAAGTTCTTTTGTAGCACTTTTGGGTTAAAATGATTGTTTTTAACAATGAGTAGCATGTAACAGGGGAACATTATACATAAAACCTCTACTTCAACAAAAGGTTTGTTATAATGATACAGAAAAAAGTGGTGTTTATGTTAATTTGTTCACAATGAACTCAATTTAGCCACAATAATTCTGTAAACAAAATTCAGAAAATTCTGAAAAAGATTCCGTAACAAAATGTAAACAAACAACATTCATTATAGCTTAAACAGGTTTTGTAAGAAAATAAAAATTGTAGTACTACGACATTTATTTAAAAAGAGACAGGAAGATTAGTTGCTGTGGTTTCATAAATACAGTCAAACCTTGTGTTTTTGTTAGCATATATATATATATATGTACAGTCAAACCTCATCATCTCACACCCGAACTGAACAATAAACAAGAGGCCCAAGGGCCTTAACGGTCACCATAGTACAATACAACAATTTAGAGGATCCATAGAGTATTAAAATGAAATGAAAGGTGAAGCTTTGTTGCCCAAAAGCAAGAAAAATAGGGTGATCAGGATCAACAAAATAAATAGTCTACTATTCATTAACAGTTCATAAATTAGGTTCTAATCTGTTCCCCATTTATCACTATCACCATACAGCATATTAACAAAATATCAGTGCTTTTGTACTATTTTAATTCCTTGTTGTAATCTCTTACATTGGCCTCTCTTGGTCTTTGATGAACATTTAAGTTATTTTTGTCTCATTTTTATTTATCTATTACTTACAAGTCCACATGATCATTAAAACTAAGAAAATACTTTTTGTATTATACAATAAAAATTCTTGCATAATTCTCTTATTCTATTAATTTTTCAAGTACATTATTTACAGTGATTAATTATCAAAAGTAAATGGCAAAGGGGAATAACTCCTCTCAGTAGAATGCAAATTAATTGAGCCCTGGCTAGGACCAGAACACTTGACCAAATGGTCCAGATGTTCAAAAATCTGGTAAAAATACCCTTCCTTATTACAACTTTTACGCTTTTTGCCTCTGATATGCCCAAGTGCAGAGAAGATTTTTAAAGAAATAATGCATTTTCACTACAGATTCACTATATTATCAATAGAGCCCCTCCCCCCCCCCTTTTCACCACCGAGAAACACCAGAGCCTCTCACCCTGGGACCAGAAGTTTCAAGTTTGCTCATCATAAGTAATCGCTTTGTTTAACTGCTAAACATTAAGGAGCAGACAGGATTATTTAATAGAATTAATGCATTTTCACTACATTATCAACAGCCCCACCCTTATACCAGCACATCTGACCCAGGGGTCATGCAATTCATTACTCTGGAAGAAGCACTCCTGCTCATCATAACTATATACTTAGCCTCTTTGCTTTTTAACCAGAAGCAGAAAAGAATATTTTCAAAGAAATTTTGATTTTTCACTATATAATCAAAAGAGCCCCCCCCCCCCACCTTTTGATCAGAACCCTTGACCCTGGGGCCATGAAATTCAAAATTTTAGAAGAGGCATCCTTGCGTATCATAACAATGTACTTAGTTTGTTTAAATAGTACCCAGGGGCAGAGAAGAAGATTTTCAAAGAAATAATTCACCTTCACTGTAGGAGCTATATAGCCCCACCCTAGCACCAGAACCCCTGTCCCTGGGGTCATGAATTTCACAATTTTGGAAGAGGTGTCCTTGCTTATCATAACAATGTACTTAGTTTGTTTAAATAATACCCAGAAGCAGAGAAGAAGATTTTTAAAGCATTAATGCATTTTCACTATATAATAAATAGAGCCCCACCCTAACATCAGAACCCCTGACCCAGGGGCCATGAAATTCACAATTTTGGTCACTCTTGCTTATCATAACTATGTATTTAATTTGTTTAAATAATACCCAGGAGTAGAGAAAAAGATTTTCAAAGAAATAATGCACTTTCACTATATGATCTATATAGCCCCCCCCCCCCCCCCAGCACCAGAACCCCTTACCCTGGGGCTATGAATTTCACAATTTTGGTAGAGTCACTCTTGCTTATCATAACTATGTATTTCATTTGTTTCAATAATACCAAAGAGTAGAGAAGAAGATTTCTAAAGAAATAATGCACTTTCACTATATGATCTATACCCCCCCCCCCCCAGCACCAGAACCCCTGACCCTGGGGCCATGAATTTCACAATTTTGGTAGAGTCACCCTTGTTAATCATAACTCTGTATCTAATTTGTTTAAATAATACCCAGGAGTAGAGAAGAAGATTTTCAAAGAATTAATGCACTTTCACTAATATGATCTATATAGCCCCACCCTAGCACCAGAACCCCTGACCCTGGGGCTATGAATTTCACAATTTTGGTAGAGTCACCCTTGCTTATCATAACTATGTATTCAATTTGTTTCAATAATACCCAGGAGTAGAGAAGAAGATTTTCAAAGAAATAGTGCACTTTCACTATATGATCTATATAGCCCCGTCCTAGCACCAGAACCCCTGACCCTGGGGCCATGAATTTCACAATTTTGGTAGAGGGCTCAATGCTTATTACAATCATGTCAACAGTTTGACTGCTTGATGTCCAGGAGTAAAGAAGAAGATTTTTAAAGATTGCATTAATTTTGATGGTTTTAGCCCCACCCCTCAGGCCCCAGGGTGGCAGGGACCATGAAATTCACAAATTTTGTTCCCCTTCACACATAGATGCCATATCCAAAAATTGGCTGAAATTGGTTCAGCGGTTTCAGAGTAGAAGCTGAAAATGTTCAAATGTTAACACACGACGCACGATGGACGACAACGGACGAAAACAGATAGCAATAGGTCACCTGAGTGACTCAGGTGACCTAAAAACTTTGAAATATCGGGATTCAAGATATTGAGAGTAAAATATATAAAGAATAAGCAGTTGGGACTTCCAACTCGCTTCAGCATATCCTTGGTATTCAAGATACATGTATTAACATCTGAGATACCAAAGTTTAACTTCACATATATTAAATATAAATTGTTGATAAAATCTGTTAAACAAGAACCTGTCTCACAAAAACGTGAGCTTCATGATCACATGATACATCTGTCAGGAGAACAGTCGTCATAATTGAATTAATTAAGTTCTATGATACACCGGTTAAACTGATGATTCTACATGATCTACTTATATATGTATAGATGAAGAATTCCAAAATGAGGCCACAACAAACCCTTTTTTTGGGGTTGTGACACACAAGGTCTGTCAATAGATGGGTTAATTCTAATAAACATAAGTTTTAATTTTCTAATTAAAATGAAAGATAAATATCAATATAAAATATGATGAAGTCATTTTTTAGCATTAGATATTCTGATGCAATAATCTAATCTTTAAAGTTAACATACAATGTGTGGAACAAACCAAAACAGCAACCAGTTACAGGATTTGTAAACAGTTTCCTTATACTAGTAACTGATATTTCCTCTTAAGTGGGTTCTTTATAAAAGGCTTCTACTGTATCGTACATCTATAAATAGTGCAAACATCTAATAACTTTAAAACCTTTCTTTTAAAAAGTCATAGGATTAATAAAACAAAACAACAAGTACATGAGCATATAAATAACAATAAAATGCAGCACTTAAGTATGACTTTCTCACAAAATAACAAGCTTTTTTCTCTCTACAAGACCCCAAAATAAAGAGACACAAATCATACCCTAGAGTTTCAGTTGTCTGATTCTGAGTATTTAGTTAAAATGTATCAAAATGATCTTCCAGTAAAATTAAACAACAATAAGCCTCCACATAATATCATCAAAGACATTTTAAAAAAAAAGGCTTCAGAGCACATCTAGGTCATAATGCTTACAGTTTGATCAATATATATAAAAGTTTTCATAAATACAAACTCAACAAATCTCAGATCTTCCATTGAATTCACTTAGCAGTTTAACTTTTAATTTTTACAATAACAACAAAATTTTTTTAAAAAATTTTTATCACTCTAATTTAAATCAGTTTTATCAACAGTTTTATTTAGGTCCGACTTGTTAAAATTCTAATGACCGACTACAGACTGGCTGCGAGTTTCCAGTGTTTGACGTCACATCTTGTGAGCCGGTTTCTCCCATTTGTATGTTCCAGTATAAATAAAATTGAAGCGTGAACACAACTCGTCACTTTCTCTCGGGCCGCGGCTGGAAGACAAAAACACACATTAGTTCTGAACCTGTAATCAAGAGATATCAACAATCATGGTTTATGATAGATTTAATAGTAGAAATGCTGTGTAAAGACCAGATATATTACTATTGTAAAATGAACGAAATATTTTGCATTTTTCTTTTCTTTTGCAGAAAGAAGAGTCAATTATTTTTCACATCCTCTCATCTACAATTTATGTGTTCTAAAGTTGCAAGCAAATAAGCTTCTTTTAATTTTTTCCCCATTATATACAGTGATATTAAAGATTTTAGAATTTTACAGTGATACAAAGAAAATATTAAGAACTTGTATTTACATAAAACCAAGGAGGAATATTTGATAGAAATGAAAGTTATAATACATTTATGTACTGAAACAAACCTGTATATGTAACATCAGGAAGAGATCGATTCAATAAGCACAGGCATAATACAAGAATTTTAATGGATAAACAAATTTTAAAAGTGTGCCGTGTAGTTTGAATGAAATATGAAGATATATGTACAGAACATATACTGTATGCAGGGAAATTTTCGCCTCCATTTTTAATTATTTTCTCTCCTTTCGCCCTAGACATAAGTGGGCGAATTTAATACGGGAGGAATTCAAAGAAAACAGTATAATTTCTTAAACAGAACCATGACAGAGCGAATTTAAAATGGGCCAAAATTGTTAGCATGTGTGAAAGGGCAAAAATAACACTGGCAATTCAATAAAATTTAATTGGCTTGTTTTTGTATCACATGCTAAATTACAATTTTCTGATATTGACTTTGGAGTTCCTAAATATGTTAATCATATGTAAAACCTGTGCAACTTTTGTTGAATTTTTTTTTCTGTTTTGCTTATCTGTTTTAATGATGCAAAATGGTAGTCCTAATCATGGACTTAATATTTGAAGCTGCATGTACATACAACAACAAAAACGATTTATATAAACACTGTCATATATATATATTATATGTTATTGTAACATTTCCGAAAATTTTTAAACCGATACTTCTTTGTAATTTTGCCTGATTTTCTCTGTGATTTTGGTTATTTCTGTAATTTGATTACTTTCTAGTTCTCTTTTTTGGTACATTTATTACTTTTTGCTTTGTTTATTCAATATCAGAATTTATGTATTCACCTTGACCTTGAGGTAGGGAGGGGTCTAAAATAGGCTGACCTAGCTGCCCAATCCCATTCACTTCTACGAGTAAAAAAATATACCGGTACATTGACCTCTAATCAGCATTGACCTTAAGACTTTATATTTCTTTACTGTAATCAGTAATTTCAATTTACTTAAAAAATTGTCACCTAAGACAACTGCCTTGAAATAACAATTCCCAGGTAACTTAACAAGAGGCCCAAGAGGCTTTTAAGTGGTTGTAATTCTTTAGATTTCCATAATGGAACTCTTCAAATAAGAGGCGTGTTTGGTCGTCTGACTGGGACAACATGACATAGCGAATATGAAACATGCCAATCATGATCCAATTTAGAATGTTAAATGTATCTGTCATTTCCATCAAAAAGTAGAATATGTGAGAAATTGAAAGTTCTGAATTCATCATCCATCGATAAAAATTATGATTGTTTTTTGAAATGGACAGTCAACACTTCTCAACAACTTCCTGTAATGTATATATTAAATTGATATTATTGTCATTTTTACTTCTGCTGCATGTAAAGTCCACAACAATACAGTGTTTCATTTGCATGTGTTTGGCGTTTTTTCATTGATGTTTACATGTTGTTACGATTGTCCCAGAAATCCTGCAAGATTTGTACAATTTCTGACTTTTTCACAAGACAGCACACTAAGAACTATAACTCTTCTGTGGTGGAAATAGAAAGTATTGGTCCAGTGGTTCTTTAAAAAATGAAAATGTAAAAACGTGACACACAACCATACAAAGACGGAAAAGAAAAATAGATAACAAGAGGTCACAAGTGACCTAAAAATGTTCAAAATGAATATACGTTAACTGCCTAATAAAAAAAAATCAATCAATCTAAAGTATTTACTAGTAGAAGAGAAAAAATGGTTTAATTTCAATTATCTGACTTCCTAAACATTGTATAAAATTAATGTATACATATATATGACAATTATAAATAATTAAATAAGAATTCTCTCTAGATACGTATAATGACACAGCTGAAACAATGCATTAATAAAACACAGTCAAACAATCCTTGTGTTCTTTTTTGTTCAAAGTTTTTTTTTTTTTGAAACTTCCATTGACCAGACACTGTCTCTTGTACATATAAATATGACTACATGAAAGTTATTAAGTGATTAGCATGATTAGTAAGAAATTGAGTGTTAATCACATCCTTGAATGGGTGGAGGTTAACAGAACAGCCAGAGATCATCTATCAGCAGTGGGGGTGAAAGGCAACAGCTACATCAGGGAGATACGACAGTCTGAATCACAGAAACGTTTATAACGAGGCTTTTTTATCAGTCCACTTGTAAGTTCCATAGTATTTGAAATCAAACTTATCGCAGAGCTGATCCGACTCTTTTGGCCCTCGGCTGAAAACAGGAAGAGGGAACGTCAAACAAACAAGCAGGGAGGATTCTGTTAGGGGTCTCTGTATTGTGGGTCTTTATTGTGGGTATTCCATTGATAAATTTTGAGAAGACATTAAGTAACCTATAAGACTTCCAAATAAGCCTTAAACAGCCGCTACATAAATCTAATTTGAAAACTCAATTCTGATACTGAACAGATGAAATAAAACCATTTGTAACATTTCTCCAATATTTGCCTTAATTATTATTGAGAATGATTATGTTGTGTTTGTTTGTTTTTTAATAACAATATATTTACAGGTAATATTCCAATAGACATAACATTGGAGATTTTCTTAGTTTGATAGAAGTATACTAAATCAGAGTTTCTCTTTACTAGATAGATGAAAAAATAAAGGACTGTGTTGAAAAGGGCAATGTCCTCAATCAAACTTTTTATCATGCACTGGTCCAGGTATTAAATGTTGTCATTTAAACTCCATTATTGTTTTCTTATGTCTAAGTTGTGTCAGGGAACTCAGCTTGAGCATTTCCAGAATAAACTAAATCACTGACCAATCAGCAAGGGCCCCACAGAGGAATAAAAATCTAAGGGTGCAGCAACTGTATTTATAAAATGTGGACATGCTTCCTAAATGACAAATGGGATTATCCAACTATCTGTTAGAAATTAATAGCATCTTTGTGTTTATATATTAGGGAGTAAACACATCATATAATATAATAATTCAATTAAATGCAAATCAAAATGCCAGCCTTTGGTGAATGCAAAGATCACCCAGGCTTGACATTAACTTCAAAACAAGCATCACTTGCAAACAGAGGTGTTAATAAATCTAAATGTGACAGATCAAGATTAGGTACTGGATTTTCTACAGCAGGCAAGATAATTACTCCCAGGGGATTAATTGTACTGCTTTTTTATCCTTTAATTGTTAGTTTACAACCTTTCATTCTAAGTTTTTAATAAGAACATTTTCAGCATTGATAGAATGAGGCTATTATTACTGTACCTATTAGTTTCCTTATATTTACACAAGGCAGCAAACCATTCACAGTAGCTCAGTCAGTAGAGCTCTTGCTCCGTGACTGGGAGGTTGTGAGTTCGAATCTCGGCTGCGACTGACCTAAGTTGATAAAAACTGGGTAGCAACTGTTCCTTCACCATGCGCTCAGCACTTTGAAGTGAAAGTTGCAGGTCCTTTGGATGAGACCTTAAAACCAAGGCACCGTGTTACGGCAGGCACTGGCACGATAAAGATCCCTCACAACTCAATGGCCCTGAGAGCTGAGTAAAGGTCAAAATTTGAAGCCCTTCACCGGTATATGGTGACGTCTTTAAATGAGTGAAAAATTCTCAAATGGGACATAAAACAACATACAATCAATCACAAGGCAGCAATAAAAAAACTGATATTTTTAACTTATCTTTTTTTAAAATCAATTCCCCATGAAAACTGTATTTCAATAAAATAGAAATTAACCAGAACAAAATATGAATATCATAAAAATGCACCCTTCTGTGAATGCAAACATCATCCATGATTGATCTTAACTTCAAAATTAACATCACTTGCAGACAGAGGTGTTAATTGATCTGGATGTGACAGTTAGAGATCAGGCTCTGAATATTCTAACAGCAGACAAGTTAATTAATCACAGGGAACTCAATGCAACTTTCATAGTTTACAAGATGAACATTTTCAGCAGTTATCTCTTTTTGCCCATTCATTCTTATATAAAGTTAAGGAATCTACCCTACCATCCCAGCTACAAATGGATAACATATAGAATCAAAATTAGTATCAAAATAAGTTTTACTGCCTATTAAACCAACATACCAAATTTGAACTTAATAGGACAACCATAAAAAAAAGTTATTAGAAAAATAAACAGAAAAATTGTGGAAGAAGAATGATAGACAGACGGAGTGATTACTATAGGGCACCCATAAATCCTTGTGGTACCCTAATCACGGATTGAATGTACATTATCACTACTCAAAATGATTCAAAAATTATCCCCATTCAAAATGATTCAGAGATTATCTCTACTCAATATGATTAAAAAAATATAAAATCATTCTTATTGCTACTCAAAATGATTTAAAAATTATCTCTACTGAAAATGATTCAGAAATTATCTCTACTGAAAATGATTCAGAAACTATATCTTGTAAAAAGAAAAAAGGTATGTCTGTGTGGTAATCAAAAACCAAAGATTAATAGAAATCTATATTCATGTCATTAACATACGAAAATATATAGTTGTATGTTATTTCCCTACATAGTGAATACCCCATTTAGTATACATAAAATTACAATTTTAAATATTTTGTGTCGAACTATATATGATGTCATTTACATGTACACATATTTCATTTGAATTAATTTGATGAAATATTTGTTATAAGTTTTCAATAAATAAAAATGTCTGCTTCAAAATGTAAACCTTGTTTCAACCAAAGTGCTGTAGAAGTACTTTTTTCTACGTGGTATTTATTTACGCTATGTAGGCAGTCACAAATTTTCTGCAGAAATTTGTCCCAGCTTACTTAAGGACATACGCAACGTACCTTACCTACTGATAATTTTTCAAGATATTCTTAATTTAAGATTATAGTGCCATCAGATGTTCGTAGACAAAAAATCAGCATGCATTACCAGGGGTTTTGAAAATATATGAATTGATGGAAATTCTTGTATAATTCAGAGAAAAATATACAAAAATTACTAAACATATATTCTTGAGGTTTTGTTAATCCAAACTTATTTTACAAGAAGTGTACAACAGCATATATAGACATTAAAATGTAGCACATAGTTCTTTTCAGTATTGGAACTCTTCAATTCCAGGGAAAAAGACAATATAGTTCAAACTACGTTGCATATGTCCTTAAAGTACATTTAACGCATATAGTGGTAGTCTAGTGTAATTTTCTACTTGTGGATTGAACAGAAATTGTGATTCCATGGAATTAGGACCCCATGGAAAAAAGTACATTATACATATTTACGACAGATATCATGTTTTCATCGGGCCAATTTTCAGAGTGTATTCAGAAAGTTGTTAAACAATAACAAGACATTAAATAAATGTAAAAGGTTGACATGAGGATAGAATCACCCACAACAAAGGTGTACAGTGACCAAAGAAAATTGCAAACTTAACACATTTAAATAACACCAATACTACACACATATAACGAAAATTACTAAAACCTCTAACTACTGAAATACCACCAATACTATATACATCCAAATACGTATGTACACAACTGTATACACAAACATATACACACACATGTACACACACTTACCTGCCATATTTGTAGGGTATGGGTTTGGGTTTCTCTTTCTCAATCTTATGGAGTAAGGGAGTAAATACCCTCCAGGCCTCGTACAGTTCATCAGACCTGACAAAGTGGATTTGAGAACCAGTGAACACATCAAGAATCAGTCGTTCATAGGCATCAGGGAGCTTCAAACCCTAAAATAAAACATTAAGGACCTAAATTCACAGTTAAGGACATATATCTCTAATAAAATGATGGTTGACACAGATATCAAATGGACACTTCCTAGACAAAATCATCTAATATTCCCAAATTTAACAGTCTGTTCATGTCTCTGTCAGTACTTTTGGTACTTTGATTTTTTTCCCTACATTAGTGTCTGTCAGGACATTTAGTACTTTGATTTACCTTGTATCTACTGTTATAAGAGAGATCCAGCTCCGTTTCCTCACATCCAAATGACATTCCGGGTGATTTTGTCATCATCTTCAGATAAACTGCTTCATCTGGCTGGACACGGATGACTAACTCATTCCGCTTCACTTCACCCGACGGGAAAATATCCCCAGCAACGTCCTTGAACTGTATCCTAACCTCTGCTTTTCTCTCATTCAGAGCTGTAAGAAATAAAATCTTATAGAATTATTCGATTTAGTGTAAAAATTTGAGAGCAACAAAAATTAAATCTTGTAGAATTATTCAAATTAGGTTAAATTCAGAGCAGTTAAAAAAATATTTTAAAATTATTTCAATTCAGGTAAAATTCAGAGCCGTAAAAAATTAAGTCTTGTAGAATTACTAAAATTTGTGTAAAATTTTGACTTCTTTGTCACTGTCTATGTTCCTGATTGATTGAGAACATTAAACACAGAGATTCGTCCTTACCCTTTCCACATCTGAGGATAAACGGCACACCGTCCCATCTCTCGTTGTTCACCTTCAGGACAGCGGTCACAAATGTCGGCGTCGTAGAACCTTAAATCAAAGTTAACCGAGAGTTAACAATTATAATGAATAGCAAATTAACAAACAATTATAACAACAACTTTTAAACTCATTATTTACATGACAGAATTGGATGCTATAGAACAAGGTGACCTGTCTTTTGTAGCAAGCTATCAGCCTATCTATCTATACTCCAATAAATGATTTCTCACTGATTCAAGTTCATTCTAAATACATTAGTAAATATATATATAACTAGATGCTGTCATGAGACAGTAATACCCGCACTAAGGTGTTTGCCTCTAAATGCACACTCCTTCATATTGGGCTTACCAAGGAAAAAGTCCAAATAATTCTATAATTTACACAGTACATGTATTCGTCAAATCGAGCATAAAATGCTCAGGTGACCATGTGACCCATGAACCTCTTATACGCCATTTCATATACTTAATTCATTACCAGTCTGAAATAACAGAATTTAATTAATGATGTAAATTAGGTTTTGATAAAAAGGGGGGGGGGGATATAAATTTTTGGCCCATAATTGGAACTTTTTTAAATTTATTTTCTCAACAACAAATAATATTATTTTAGTACAAAGCGTTTTTGATGAATTTATGAAAATGTGCAAACTTTTTTTAGTATTTGATTAGGCAAAAACCTAAGCCATACCCAATCAATTTTGTCACCCCCCCCCCCACCCCCCAACACACACACACAATTTGCCTGTTTTTGGAAATAGACCTAGATGGCAAAGTTATGTTAAAACATCGTTTGTTATGGTAATTCAAAATTTGTTCTTGTACTGTACATGTATGTGAACACCTTTTTTGAAAATTTCTACATCACATTGGGCTTGCGTCACCCTACCAGTACTAGTACTACTTTTACCATTATCATTTTTAATGATTGCACATGGTGCAGTGTTACATGTATATCAGTGGAAATTAATTCATTTTGTGTTTTAATTGGATTATATTTCATGAAGTTGACAGGACCTATGACAGTCGGTAAGTACAAGTTTAAGTATAGATTGGGGTAAAATAAACCGAAATGCAAATGGTTAGGTTAAAGTTTAAAAAGGATCAAAGATCATCGGCAATCTCCTATGCAGAGTTGTCGTTCGTTTCTCTCTCAGACACTGAATGTATGAGCCGATGGTAGAGAGTGGATCATCGATGCCACAATAGACGAATTTCACATTCTGAAGAGTTATCTCCCATTGTCGACATTACATTCAGTTACAGGCACAGATCCGGGAATTTTTTTCTGGGGGGAGGGGGGGTCCACACCTCAGTCAAAAAAAAATTCCAGCCCAGAATTTCCTGAGGAGCAAAAAAAAAAAAAAAACAAACAAACAAACAAAATAAAAACAATGATGGTGGGGTCCATGTTTTTAAAGGGGGAGGGCATCCAAAGTCATTTTTTATTTGCTATTTATTTAAATCAGTATATAGTCCTATTTAAATAACTCTGCAAATTCCAGGGGGGTGGGGGGGGGGGGGGGGTTCCAATCTCCCTAGATGCTCCCTGTCCCTGAAATGACAAATGATCAAGTGACTCCTAAATAGTAGAAAACTTTTCCATTTGACTATACATAATTTTGTTTCTTGTGTTATTATGTTATGTACATCTAATGGTTTTAAGGTTATGAACCCCTGGAGGTCATCCCCACTCTCTTAATGAACTGGAAATGTTCATAATATGACTACATCAAATTAAATAAAAGTGCATCATTGATAAGATTACTTGACATTTCATTCATGAAATTTGGGTCAACCCATGTACCCTCCTAGAATTAGGAATGAAAATCATTCAAAGAGATGGACCATTAAACTATTTGTATATATTCACATTTTTTTTTATGTCAAACCAAAGTATTAGACTAGTTTGCATACATGAACAAACAGGGGTCTGGGAGGGGAAGGGGCAAGGGGAAGGAATTATCTCTTTACGTCTTAATTGTTGAAATCTCCTAAAATGAATGTCTGACTTCTTCATTATTTTTAAGTGGTGGTGTCTCCGTATGAGTGAAAAATTCCCAAGAGGGACATTTAACAACAAACAGGGGTGTGCAATTAAAAAAATCAAGTACTAGCCCACGGGCTAGTGGCAGCAATAAAGTTACTAGCCCCAAGTAAAAAGTTACTAGCCCAAATGTAGGTGGGAAAAGTAACAACTACGAAAACTGAATAAATTATTGTTGAATAAGTCAGGGGTTTAAGGTAATTCTTTTTAAAATTAAAGTTTTATTCTCACTAGTAAAATTGAATCATTTATAAATTAATAATTATGATAGAAAATAAAAATGAATTTAAATAAATTATTTTTTTTTCCTTTTCTCTGTGCATATTGCACTAGCTCATTTAAAACGAAGTGAAATCTTTTTTTTTATCTTAAATTATTAAATACACTGGAAATATATTTTATGTACACGTAAATCACATAATACTTATCTTTCAGTTGATTGAGTGATCGTAAATAATAGATATCTGCTTTTATTTATCATAAACACATGAATGGAGGAAATTCGGATTAGGCAAAAAACGATCGTTTTTGGAAGTAAACAAGTCAGGAAGTGCTGCAAAATGGATAAGATTATGGAGATTTACGAACAATAGGAGCATTCTGCCTGGAAATTTTTCATTGGTTGGGAATTTAATAGCAAAAAATAAGTGAAAATACCGGTAGTGATTTTCATTTATAACATTGGTATTTTTAATTTTTACTAGCCCTAGGGGCTACCTGCATGCAGAGAACAACTAGCCCGACCCCAAAAAATGGTAGCCCCGGGCGTCGGGCGATGCTAATTGCACACCCCTGACAAACAAACATTAATGACTTAAAAAACACAATATACATGTACATGTTTATTAGTCAATGGATATACTTCTGATCATATCTCTAGTTCTCCCTTGAATCAGAAATAATGATATAAATATTTTAAGAATGATTAAGAGTTGAAAAGGTTGTGCATTTTAAAATTCACTAAGCTCTGTGGTTGAATTAGCTATACCAGTTTAGCTTATTTTGCTACTCAAAGCAACTTGATTAACTATTTTTAATCATACTGTTTTCTGAAATGTGAAGTTTTTTCAACATGGATACAAGTCATACTTTTTCAGCTTCTGAAAACAATGCATGAAAAAAAAAAACTGCTTTTCAAATACTGTAACTCTTTCCAAGTACTTGTGATCATCAGTTTTTAGCTCACTTGAGTTAAATTTTTCTGGTTTTCTGATCACATCTTGTTTGTCATCCATCTGTCCGCCTGTAAACTTTTCACATTTTTGTCTTCTTCACTAGAACCGCTGGGCCAATTTCAACCAGCCCTGCCACAAAGCATCTTCGGGTAAAGGGGATTCAAGTTTGTTCAAGTGAAGGGTCACACCCTCTTTCAAGGGGGGATAATCAAGAATTATAGTGAAAATTTGGTGGTATCATTTTAAAAAAGTCTTATCAAGAACCACTGACTGGGCCCAAAAAGTTGAAACTTTCTTTACATAGACTTAGTGTAGCTTCAAATTTGTTAAAATTATGACCCACTGGGGTAGGGTGGGGCCACATATGGGGATCCAATGATTTACATAGAAAAATGCAGGGGATTTTTTCCATGATAAATCTTCTTCTCATGAACAGCAAGGGCATTATTGTCGTCCGTTTTCGCAAAAGGGACCTAGGGGACATTAAATCTCATTTGTCTGTCAGTCTGTCCGTCTGTCACAATTAATTTAACCTTGGTCATAACTTCTGAATAATAAGAGACAGGGCTTTCATATTTCACATGTACATTACCTACAAGAACTTTCTAAACATACCATGATTTTTGAACCCATGACCTTGACCTTGAAGTTTGACCTACTTTTCAAAAAATTTAACATTATTTTAAATGATCATTTTGAAAGAGAAAAGATAGGGCATTCATATTATACATGTATATTACCTGTTACAAGACCTTTCTAAATATATCATGTTTTTCGACTCTGTGACATTGACCTTGAAGTTTAACCTACTTTTCAAAAATGTTATATTTCCTTATAACTTTTGACTGAGAAGAGATAGGACTTTTATATTTGACATGTACATTACCTGTAACAAGATGTTTCCAAGCATGCTATGATTTTTTTACCCCTTGACCTTGATGTTTTACCTAATTTTCAAAAATTTTAACTTTGGTGATTACTTTTGAATGACATATGATAAGGCCTGTCATCAAACTTCATACACTCATGCAAATTTTCATGTTGCATTAGTAATATTCATTTGGCGGGGCATTTATGTCCTATGGACATGTTTCTAGTTTTCAAATCATGACCTCCGAGGATAGGGTCAGGCCACAATAAGGGATCAAAGTTTTAAAGAGATTTAAAACGAAAAAAAATCTTCAAAATTCTTCTTTTTAAGAACAACAAAAGCATGATTAATATGGAAACATTCCCAAGAAGTGTAGATTCAAGTTTGTACAAATTATGACCCCATGGGTTAGGGAGGGGCCATTTTTTTTCCTGCCCCTATTTGCTATCCACATGGAAATGCAAATTTTAAAACCATTTTACACATCCACAGGACAAAATCAATCATCTTCTAAATGATCATGATTTAAGGCTAGTGCATAAAATATAAGGGAAGTTCAGGGAACCAGGATGTTTAAACATGTTAAATATTTTTTAAAAAAATTTTGACCCCCATTTGACCCCCAGGGGGAAAATATGAATTCCGAAACCTTACTGCACATCTATAGGACACCATCAACCATCTCCCAAAAGATGATAAGGCTACTGTGTAAAATGTAAGAGGAGTTCTGGGAACCAGGGGCTTTTTGCATAAAAACGTTATTTTTCGACCCCATATTTGACCCCATCGTGAAAATGAAAATTCCGAAACCTTACTGCACATCTACATGACACCACCAACCATCTCCCAAAAGACGATTAGGCTACTGTGTAAAATGTAAGAGGAGTTCAGGGAACCAGGGGCTTTTTGCATATAAAACGTCATTTTTTCGACCCCCATTTGACCCCAGGGTGAAAATGAAAATTCCGTAACCTTACTGCACATCTGCAGGACACCACTAACCATCCCCCAAAAGATGATTAGGCTACTGTGTAAAATGTAAGAGGAGTTCAGGGAACCAGGGGCTTTTTGCATAAAAAACGTCATTTTTCGACCCCCATTTGACCCCCAGGGTGAAAATGAAAATTCCAAAACCTTACTGCACATCTACATGACACCACTAACCATCTCCCAAAAGATGATTAGGCTACTGTGTAAAATGTAAGAGGAGTTTGAGAAATAAGAGTGTGACAGACGGACGGACGGACAGACATGAGTAACAACAATATACCCGAACTTTCTTTAGAAAGTGCGGGTATAATCACTTAATGTTAGTTTAAACAATATTTATTTCCAAAAGTAAAAGGATTGGAGAGCAGGCAGAATTGCTTATAAGTCCTGTTCCCAAGTCTCTTAATGTAAGTATGGTTAAAATGCCCTCACAGAGATTTATCTGTGTATAGAACTGCATGAAGTAATACTTTACTAAATTCAGTAAGTATCACTTAGAGCAAAAATGAGTAAAAAAACGAAGTTCAAGATACATGTACTAATAATAGGGGTTAGCCACATGGCAAAGTGGCCAGGGATGTAAAGCAAGCAAACAAACAAACAAACCAATAGATAAGGTGAAGGTCAGGAAATTATGTCATACTTCAATAGCTCTAATCAGTAATGCATTTTTGTGTCACCAGGTTAACAGGATTTTGAAAGTCATCAATACATGTATATCAGTTCTTATTAGCTCAATGGCTGGAGCACCTTTTGGTATGGTGGGGTCCTCTGACTTAAGGGGGTTAGCTCACCTTTTGGTACAGTGAGGTCCTCTGGGCTAGGGGGTTAGCTCACCTTTTGGTACAGTGGGGTCCTCTGGGTTAGAGGGTTAGCTCACCTTTTGGTACAGTGGGGTCCTCTGGGTTAGGGGGTACCTCACCTTTTGGTATGGTGGGGTCCTCTGAGTTAGGGGGTTAGCTCATCTTTGGTACAGTGAGGTCCTCTGGGTTAGGGGGTTAGTCACCTTTTGGTACAGTGGAGTCCTCTGGGCTAGGGGGTTAGCTCACCTTTTGGTACAGTGGGATCCTCTGGGTTAGGGGGCACCTCACCTTTTGGTACAGTGAGGTCCTCTGGGTTAGGGGTAAGCTCAGCTTTTGGTATGGTGAGGTCCTCTGGGTTAGGGGATTAGCTCACCTTCTGGTACCATGAGGTCCTCTGGGTTAGGGGTAAGTTTGGTACAGTGAGGTCCTCTGGGTTAGGATCTTTTGGTATGGTGAGGTCCTCTGGGTTAGGGGTAAGCTCACCTTTTGGTACACTGAGGTCCTCTGGGTTAGGGGATTAGCTCACCTTTTGGTACAGTGGGATCCTCCAGGTATCCTATTTTTTCGTCTCCCTCCCCGTCCGGATTCCCCACATACTGCCCCAGCACCACATTATCCAGCTCTACTGGAGAGATGCTCTTTAAAACCTTCACCTATTAACAAAAGTTCAAGGACATTTATATATCAATGAATAAAAAGAGGCAGTTTTGAAATATAATCCTAACTAGATGCTGTCATGAGACAGTAATACCCGCACTAAGGTGTTTGCCTCTAAATGCACACTCCTTCATATTGGGCTTACCAAGGAAAAAGTCCAAATAATTCTATAATTTACACAGTACATGTATTCGTCAAATCGAGCATAAAATGCTCAGGTACCATGTGACCCATGAACCTCTTATACGCATTTCATATACTTAATTCATTACCAGTCTGAAATATCAGAATTTAATTAATGTTGTAAATTAGATTTTAATAAAAAGGGGGGATATAAATTTTTGGCCCATAATTGGAACTTTTTAAATTTATCTTCTCAACAACAAATAATATTATTTTAGTACAAAGCGTTTTTGACGAATTTATCAAAATGTGCAAACTTTTTTTTGTATTTGATTAGGCAAAAACCTCCTTGAAAAGCCATACCCAATCAATTTATATGTGTCCCCCCCCCCCCCCCCCAATACACACACACACAATTTGCCTGTTTTTGGAAATAGGCCTAGATGGCAAAGTTATGTTAAAACATCGTTTGTTATGATAATTTAAAATTTGTTCTTGTACTGTACATGTATGTGAACACCTTTTTGAAAATTTCTACATCACATTGGGCTTGCGTCACCCTACCAGTACTAGTACTAGTTTTACCATTATCATTTTTAGATTGCACATGCCATGTGACATGGTGCAGTGTTACATGTATATCAGTGGAAATTAATTCATTTTGTGTTTTAATTGGATTATATTTCATGAAGTTGACAGGACCTATGACAGTCGGTAAGTACAAGTTTAAGTATAGATTGGGGTAAAATAAACCGAAATGCAAATGGTTAGGTTAAAGTTTAAAAAGGATCAAAGATCATCGGCAATCTCCTATGCAGAGTTGTCGTTCGTTTCTCTCTCAGACACTGAATGTATGAGCCGATGGTAGAGAGTGGATCATCGATGCCACAATAGACGAATTTCACATTCTGAAGAGTTATCTCCCGTTGTCGACCTTACATTCAGTTACAGGCAAAGATCCGGGAATTTTTTTCCGGGGGGGGGGGGGGGGGGGGGGGGGGGGGGTCCACACCTCGATCCAAAAAAATTCCAGCCCAGAATTTCCTGAGGAGCACAAAAAAAAAAAAAAGAAACAAAAACAAACAAACAAAATAAAAACAATGATGGTGGGGTCCATGTTTTTAAAGGGGGAGGGCATCCAAAGTCATTTTTTATTTGCTTCTGTAAATCAGTATATAGTATACACCTATTTACTGGCTATGAGGACAATAGCAAGTTTATCGTTCCCCAAGACAGCAACTATTTCCCGAGGCGCAGCCGAGGGAAATAGTTGCTGTCGAGGGGAACGATAAACTTGCTATTGTCCGAATAGTCAGTAAATAAGTGTTTTATTATACCGAAGCAGTCTTTACTTGTGTTACGTCACAATCTGTATAAAACCAGAAGAGTTCCGAGATGAAAAGCGAGGGAAACAGAATGCTGCCGGTGAATAGTTTAATGACTATTTCACCATGGGCAAATAGCACAAAAACTATTCCACGGTAGGGGCTGTTTGGAAAAAATAGCATGTTTATTCGTAATATTTTTATATAGAAAAAATTCACAGAGGTATAATAATCCTATTTAAATAACTCTGCAAATTCCAGGGGGGGGGGGGGGTTCCAATCTCCCTAGCCGCTCCCTGTCCCTGAAATGACAAATGATCATGCGACTCCTAAATAGTAGAAAATTTTTCCATTTGACTATACATAATTTTGTTTCTTGTGTTATTATGTTATGTACATCTAATGGTTTAAGGTTATGAACCCTTGAGGTCATCCCCACTCTCTTGTTCATAATATGACTACATCAAATTAAATAGAAGTGCATCAATGATAAGATTACTTGACATTTCATTCATGAATTTGGGTCAACCTAGAATTAGGAATGAAAATCATTCAAAGAGATGGACCATTAAACTATTTGTATGTATTCACATTTTTTTTATGTCAAACCAAAGTATTAGACTAGTTTGCATACATGAACAAACTGGGGTCTGGGAAGGGGAAGGGGCAAGGGGAAGGAGTTATCTCTTTACGTCTTAATTAATTGTTGAAAATTCCTAAAATGAATGTTAACCTCAAATCCGACTTTTACGTCTTCATTATTTTTGAGTGGTGGTGTCTCCGTATGAGTGAAAAATTCCCAAGAGGGACATTTAACGACAAACAAACATTAATGACTTAAAAAACACAATATACATGTACATGTTTATTAGTCAATGGATATACTTCTGATCATATCTCTAGTTCTCCCTTGAATCAGAAATGATGATATAAATATTTTAAGAATGATTAAGAGTTGAAAAGGTTGTGCATTTTAAAATTCACTAAGCTCTGTGGTTGAATTAGCTATACCAGTTTAGCTTATTTTGCTACTCAAAGCACCTTGATTAACTATTTTTAATCATACTGTTTTCTGAAATGTGAAATTTTTTCAACATGGATACAAGTCATACATTTTCAGCTTCTGAAAACAAAACTGCTTTTCAAATACTGTAACTCTTTCCAAGTACTTGTGATCATCAGTTTTTAGCTCACTTGAGTTTTTCTGGTTGTCTGATCACATTTTGTTTGTCATCCATCTGTCCGCCTGTAAACTTTTCACATTTTTGTCTTCTTCACTAGAACCGCTGGGCAATTTCAACCAACCCTGCCACAAAGCATCTTCGGGGAAAGGGGATTCAAGTTTGTTCAAGTGAAGGGTCACACCCTCTTTCAAGAGGGGATAATCAAGAATTAGTGAAAATTTGGTGGTATCATTTTAAAAAAAGTCTAATATCAAGAACCACTGACTGGGCCCAAAAAGTTGAAACTTTCTTTACATAGACTTAGTGTAGCTTCAAATTTGTTAAAATTATGACCCACTGGGGTAGGGTGGGGCCACATATGGGGATCCAATGATTTACATAGAAAAATGCAGGGGATTTTTTCCATCATAAATCTTCTTCTCATGAACAGCAAGGGCATTATTGTCATCTGTTTTCACAAAAGGGACCTAGGGGACATTAAATCTCATTTGTCTGTTAGTCTGTCCGTTTGTCAGTCTGTCCGTCTGTCACAATAAATTTAACCTTGGTCATAACTTCTGAATAATAAGAGATAGTGCTTTCATATTTCACATGTACATTACCTACAAGAACTTTCTAAACATACCATGATTTTTGAACCCATGACCTTGACCTTGAAGTTTGACCTACTTTTCCAAAAATTTAACATTATTTTAAATGACCATTTTGAAAGAGAAAAGATAGGGCGTTCATATTATACATGTATATTACCTGTGACAAGACCTTTCTAAATATATCATGACTTTTGACTCTGTGACATTGACCTTGAAGTTTAACCTACTTTTCAAAAATGTCATATTTCCTTATAACTTTTGATTGAGAAGAGATAGGACTTTTATATTTGACATGTACATTACCTGTAACAAGATGTTTCCAAGCATGCTATGATTTTTTTACCCCTTGACCTTGATGTTTTACCTAATTTTCAAAAACTTTAACTTTGGTGATTACTTTTGAATGACATATGATAAGGCCTGCATATTTGAAACAATATGTCATAAATAATGGCATCCCATCCACTTGGACATGGAAAGCAGGGGACCACAATTCTTTGAATTTGCTTGTTAGTCATTTTGATATGGAAACATCCTCATATAGTGTAGATTCAAGTTTTTTATGCCCTGCCATGAATATGGCCGAGGCATATAGTGTTTGTCATGTCCGACTTCAATAAAACGTCATATGCTGATACATACTGATGTAAGCTTTTCAACTGCATCAAAAGTTTTGACCTTGACTTTTCCTTTGACCTTGACCTTACTTTTCTTAAATTAGTGTCTAGATCAGTTTTGAATAAACAATTCAAGATATATTTATCAAACTTCGTATGCTGATATATACTGCTGAGAGATATCAATTGCATCAACTTTTTTGACCTTGACTTTTCCTTTGACCTTGACCTCACTTTTTTTAAATTAATGTTTATCTACGTTTTAAATAAACCATTTCTGATATTTTTATTGAACTTCTATGCTAATAGTAAATACATACTGATATAAGCTTTTCAACTGCATCAGCATTTTGACCTCAACCTTTCCTTTGACCTTGACCTCTCTTTTCTCAAATAAGTGTTAAGCTCAGTTTTAAATAAATCATTCAAGATATTTTTATCAAACCTAATATGCTGATATGTATTAGTGAGAGCTATACAACTACATCAAAAACTTTTCACCTTGCACTTTCCTGTGACCTTGACATCCCTTCTCTTTAATTTGTATTTTGCTTAGTTTTAAAGAAACAATCTAAGATATTTTTATGTAAGCATGCACTTATACATAATTTTGTGAGAATTTATCATCTATATCCATTTTTTTTTTTAGTTTTTAGTTTCAATTTTAGAGAAATTGTTCAAGATATTCTCATCAAACTTCATACACTCATACAAATTTTCATGTTGCATTAGTAATATACATTCGGCAGGGCATTTATGTCCTATGGACATATTTCTAGTTTTCAAATCATGACCTCCGAGGATAGGGTCAGGCCACAATAAGGGATCAAAGTTTTATAGAGATTTAAAAGGAAAAAAAATCTTCAAAATTCTTCTTTTTAAGAACAACAAAAGCATGATTAATATGGAAACATTCCCAAGAAGTGTAGATTCAAGTTTGTACAAATCATGACCCCATGGGTTAGGGAGGGGCCATTTTTTTCCTGCCCCTATTTGCTATCCACATGGAAATGCAAATTTTAAAACCATTTTACACATCCACAGGACAAAATCAATCATCTTCCAAATGATCATGATTTAAGGCTAGTGCATAAAATATAAGGGAAGTTCTGGGAACCAGGATGTTTAAACATGTTAAATATTTTTTTTTTAAAAATTGACCCCCATTTGACCCCCAGGGGGAAAATAAGAATTCCGAAACCTTACTGCACATCTATAGGACACCACCAACCATCTCCCAAAAGATGATTAGGCTACTGTGTAAAATGTAAGAGGAGTTCTGGGAACCAGGGGCTTTTTGCATAAAAAACCTCATTTTTCGACCCCTATTTGACCCCATTGTGAAAATGAAAATTCCGAAACCTTACTGCACATCAACTTGACACCACCAACCATCTCCCAAAAGACGATTATGCTACTGTGTAAAATGTAAGAGGAGTTCAGGGAACCAGGGGCTTTTTGCATAAAAAACGTCATTTTTCGACCCCCATTTGACCCCTAGGGTGAAAATGAAAATTCCGAAACCTTACTGCACATCTACAGGACAGCACTAACCATCTCCCAAAAGATGATTAGGCTACTGTGTAAAATGTAAGAGGAGTTCAGGGAACCAGGGGCTTTTTGCATAAAAAACGTCATTTTTCGACCCCCAGGGTGAAAATGAAAATTCCGAAACCTTACTGCACATCTGCAGGACACCACTAACCATCCTCCAAAAGATGATTAGGCTACTGTGTAAAATGTAAGAGGAGTTCAGGGAACCAGGGGCTTTTTGCATAAAAAAACGTCATTTTTCGACCCCCATTTGACCCCCATTGTGAAAATGAAAATTCCGAAACCTTACTGCACATCTACATAACACCACCAACCATCTCCCATAAGATGATTAGGCTACTGTGTAAAATGTAAGAGGAGTTCAGGGAACCAGGGGCTTTTTGCATAAAAAACGTCATTTTTCAACCCCCATTTGACCCCTAGGGTGAAAATGAAAATTCCGAAACCTTACTGCACATCTACATAACACCACCAACCATCTCCCATAAGATGATTAGGCTACTGTGTAAAATGTAAGAGGAGTTCAGGGAACCAGGGGCTTTTTGCATAAAAAACGTCATTTTTCGACCCCCATTTGACCCCCAGGGTGAAAATGAAAATTCCGAAACTTTACTGCACATTTACATAACACCACCAACCATCTCCCAAAAGATGATTAGGCTACTGTGTAAAATGTAAGAGGAGTTCAGGGAACCAGGGGCTTTTTGCATAAAAAACGTCATTTTTCGACCCCCATTTGACCCCCAGGGTGAAAATGAAAATTCCGAAACCTTACTGCACATCTACAGGACAGCACTAACCATCTCCCAAAAGATGATTAGGCTACTGTGTAAAATGTAAGAGGAGTTCAGGGAACCAGGGGCTTTTTGCATAAAAAACGTCATTTTTCGACCCCCATTTGACCCCCAGGGTGAAAATGAAAATTCCGAAACTTTACTGCACATCTACATGACACCACCAAACATCCCCCAAAAGATGATTAGGCTACTGTGTAAAATGTAAGAGGAGTTTGAGAAATAAGAGTGTGACAGACGGACGGACGGACGGACGGACGGACGGACGGACAGACGGACGGACGGACAGACATGAGTAACAACAATATACCTGAACTTTCTTTAGAAAGTGCGGGTATAAAAATGTCATTGTAAAAGATAACAATGAAGTCCTTAAACTGAATTGCTTAACAACCAATATCTGACCCCTGACCTTTTCATCAATATTTGACCCCTGACCTTTTCACTTCTGATGTCCTCTGCAGCAGTGGTTGGTGGCTTCTCCATGGCAACCAAAGTTAGAATCTGTAACAGGTGGTTCTGCATAACATCTCTGTAACCATGGAAACAAAATACATCTATATACTTACATGTATATTACTTGAAACTAAAAGTAATCCAATTGGACATGAATGTTTACATGGTTAACTTGAAATATTTACATTTCCAAATGTTTTCCCTTATATAAAATACTATTTGAACAAGGTGTTTTTAAGCCTGTATATATATAAACAGGTTTGTAACATGACCATAAATCCATTGTCAAGTTATAAGCAATCAAAGTAATTTCACAGTGATGTCATAAATGGTTGACATGTTCAATTTATACCACTTAGGTTTGAAAAAATAAATCTTTTCATGGGTTTAAAACTATAGTACACATACATTTGTTACAAATAGGTCACAACGGTAAATAAAAGTAATAAAATATCATTTTAAACATTTATTTAGATGTAAATATAAGTTGGGACTTGATCAAGTTTACCATAAAGCCACTTGATCACATGACCAACCCATATTTATATCACGATAAACGTTTTACAATGATACTTTATTTCTTAATTACAATAAGAAACAAGTTTATGGAGTTGTATAAACTGATTCTCTAACAATCATCAAAGAGATAAATTAAAGACAAAAACTAAGGTCAAGGATAAAGAGAAGGTCAAGGTCAGGAAAATATGACACAGCTGAATTTCTCTATAAACATCTAATATCTATGTTCATTCATTTTCATTAAAAAAAAAATGAACAGGTCTTTTCACACTCAGCTAAATTTGTGAAAGCAAGGTCATATGGAATGTCAAGGACAGAATTACTTTCCCCAATATCTCTTAGACTTAACAAAATGAAGAAAAGTTAGGTCAGAGTCCTGCAGAGAGTCAACATAGACACAACGAAATTGCTAATTCCAACACCTCTCTGTAGGACATATTTCAAAAGCAAAATACACTGAACACTTTTTTTTAAAAGTGCAAAAATATATACAGGTGACTCTCGATGGCTCGAACTCTGATCTCTCGAAGTTCTCGATCTCTCGAAGTGAACCTCCGGTCCCGTTTTTTCCCTCTATATAACTAAGCAAATTTACTTCCGATCTCTCGAACTTCCAGTCTCTCGAAGTTCTCTATCTCTCGAACCAAGACCTGGGTCCTGTTACACACATTTCATTGTTTTTTATTCTCTATCTCTCAAAGTTTTGATTGCACATGTGTACACGCCAATCAAGCGTAAAATGCAGCTTGGACTTACCTGGATAACAGTGAACGCCTGGGGCTGGCATGGAGGTGTCAATTGGGTGTTTACATAGATGACACTATACCTGTGAGCATCCGAGTGTTGATAAAAATAATTAATTGGTTATAATTGGTAAATTATAAATGAATTGCTTCACAACTTATTTTGACTTGACAGCGAGACGAAAATTTTTAGAAAATAAATTTCAGAGGCATGTCAATAATTTCCCATAGATTATGAAGTTTTATTAGAGTGTACATAATCCCAGTATGACAAACATTGCACAAGAAATCCTAGCTCAAGAATTAAATACCGATTTAATACGAGAAATCTGGTAAAGGACCCGATCAAACCCGGGGGGTAGCCACACCGACGATTGCTATTCAGGTTTTATGTAATCATGAAATGAGAACAAATAAATATTGAAACTTAAAGAGATCGTTTTATTTATTCAAAATACGATCATTGTTGTTGAAATCAAGTGAATTACCTGTAAAATACGAATGAAAACGTGCAATGATATTATCAACATATACTTCCGGTATTAATAATAGTAGAACAATGATGATCGGAACTGAAAATTCCGGATTTTATTCACTTTCTATCTCTTGAACCCCTCGATCTCTCGAACTTTTCTTGCGGTCCCTTGAACTTTGAGAGATCGAGAGTCACCTGTATAACACTAAGCCCATGGTTAACATTGTGAAACTTATGGTCACTTATTTATGATACCTTATATAACTAGAAAGTCTATGGCAACTTATTACCTTATGATTCCAAATTCATCAAAATATCCTCCTCTTCCCTGGGTTCCAAATGGTTCCTTGAAGCTGATGACAACTGACGCAATCCCATCTCTGTTCCACACAGGACTGAAGATCTTGTTAGCAAACCTACAAACAAAAAGGCATACAGACATACAGACATAGCTACATACAGCAAACCTACAAACACACAGACATATAGCAAACCTACAAACACACAAACATACAGCAAACCTACAAACACACAGGCATTCAGACATACAGACATAGCTACACACAAAGCTACAAACACACAGGCATTCAGACATACAGACATAGCTACACACAGCAAACCTACAAACACACAGGCATTCAGACATAGCTACATACAGCAAACCTACAAACATACAGGCATACAAACATACAGACATAGCTACACACAGCAAACCTACAAACATACAGACAGCTACATACAGCAACCCTACAAACATACAGACATACAGCATACCTACAAACATACAGACATACAGACAAAGCTACATACAGCAAATCTACGAACATACAGACATATTTATTACATTGTTTACATATAGTACTTAGGAATTGCTAATGTTTTACAAAATCTTAAAACATTATAAAACTGACTGACAAAGAGGTTAAGATCAGTTATTACAGAAAAGGAAATGGACATATTTTTTTAAACTTCATCATTACTTGACAATTTTTTTTGTGTTAGACAACTTAACCAACTAAAAGAATTTCTGTTCACCTTTATAAGAATTCTCAATCATACTCTACATAGGATATGGCTGCAATGTCTAATCTGAATCAACATTTCTATCAATCACTTAGAGAGAATTCAATGATAAAATCAAACATATCTAATTACTGTTAAACCATGGGAATCAACAGGGTATTTATCCGAGACATCAGCAGGCCTATCCCAGCATGCCTCTGTGCGAGTCATCTCATTCTTAAGAATTGTCAACCAACTATAATTTGGGACGATTTTTATTCACAAAATTTCAGTTTAAAATCTGTCCTTAACAATTCACCTTAGAGACCGGTTATTCTTGATTTACAGTGATCTCGGCACAATTAATGTAACAACCAGCAGACTCAATACATGTCAATGAGATATAGCTGAGATACTTTAAAACTCACCTGAGGACCATGAGATTCTGGACCATTTCCTTGCCAAGATAATGGTCTATTCTGTAGATTTCCTCCTCTTTGAAGAGAGCTGCCAGGTGATTGGACAGCTGATTAGAACTATCCAAGTCCTTCCCGAACGGCTTCTCCACGACGACCCGTGTCCACTTATCCCTACAGGGTTATACAAAAATAATTAATGATTCCACGATGACCCGTGTCCACTTATCTCTACAGGGTTATACAAAAACACAATTAATGATTCTACAATGACCCGCATCCACTTATATCTACAGGGTTATACAAAAATAATTAATGATTCCACTACAACCAGTGTCCACTTATCTCTACAGGGTGATACAAAAATAATTAATGATTCCACGACGACCCGCGTCAACTTATCTCTACAAGGTGACACAAATACACAATCAATGATTCCACCATGACCCCCTGTCCAATTATCTCTCCAGCGTTTACACAAAATGACATTTAATGTGTATAGTGAAAGTTTGATTATCACAGACATAAAATAATAAAATCTCAAGATACCATTGATGTTACATAATGATATCAGCAATTACTAACACCCTGATAATATAATCAAATCTAGAGTGCTGTATCTGCAGCAATGTGTACAAGTCAAGTTCATTTCAATGAGTGTGTTAGTGTGTCTGAATTCTATACAGAATGTTGTAGCATTAAAATATTGCCTGTTACTTATATACCCCTCAGGTCTGCAGACAGGGAGACTTGAGAATGCTTGTTATGTACGCAGGAATACCCCACAGAAATACAGATCATCTTGAGATTCTGTTAAAACTTTGTCTGTTATGTATACAGTACACATACCCCTCAGAAATACAGATAATCTTGAGATTTTTTTAAAACATTGTCCATTAATTACATACCCCTCAGACATACAGACGGCCTTGAGATTCAGTGTCACTGACTCATAGACCGAGGGCGGCAGTGCGAGGTAGAAAATTCTGTTACAGCTGCCTTTATCCTTGATGGCTTTGTTCAGACGGGAGAATCCCTCGGGTTTGTCGTAACTCCCGGCAATGTACTCGTTGACCTTGAAAAATTCCTCCAACTTCTGTTTCTCATCATCTTTGACCTTCAAAACAATCTCGATTAACTAAATGTTTCATGACATCAACAAAATGGTTGTACTTTTATTGTATTGTTTTTGGTGACTTATTTTTCACATAAATTCTTCAAATTTTGATGTTTTTTTCTCTTAATCAGAGCTGGACATAATTGACATTTAGTACAATGTTGTGATGGTCATAAATATTGGCACCGGTAGGAAAAGTGAAATTTACAATTGAAGCACGTGGGGAGAACGGTATACTTGTCACAAATTTCAGCATGCTTTCTTGCTTTTAAATTTTCAAAAGTCAGATTGTATGCATACTTCACATCATTCTAACCCCATACAATGCCTAAATGCTCTAACCTTCATGAATGGCAAGGCCTTCTGTCGAATGTCCTCTATGGTCATCTTGCTGCGAGCATAGCCAATGAAATACGTTTCCTTTCGAACCAGTCCATCTCTGTACAACCACCTGTCAGTGAGTAAAAATAAACATCTGATCATCAGTCAATGGTACAACCACCTGTCAGTGAGTAAAAATAAAGATCTGACAATCAGTCAATGGTACAACCACCTGTCAGTGAGTAAAAATAAACTTCTGACAATCAGTCAATGGTACAACCACCTGTCAGTGAGTAAAAATAAAGATCTGACAATCAGTCAACTGTCGGTGAGTAAAAATAAAGATCTGACAATCAGTCAACTGTCAGTGAGTAAAAATAAAGATCAGACAATCAGTCAACTGTCAGTGAGTAAAAATAAAGAATAGACAATCAGTCAACAGTACAACCACCTGTCAATGAGTAAAAATAAACATCTGACAATCAGTCAACAGTACAACCACCTGTCAGTGAGTAAAAATAAACATCTGACAATCAGTCAACTGGCCAGGACTTCATCTCCAAATACCCACATCATTAAAAGTGAACATAAAAGAAATAAAACAAGTTCTGTCATGTTTATGATACACTGTATGTTCTAAAGGTAAAGAAAGAGAAATTTCCATCATTAATCTCCGATTGATACTGATTTGTCTGTACTCTGCAACACAAATCTTTACTGATATTCAGTGTGCACTATGACAGCTGACTTAATCCACTTACCATAATGTGGGGTAAATTTTCTTCTTGGCCAAGTCTCCCTGTAAAAATGACAAAATATCAAGTAATATACATGTATATATACATATTATATTCACAACTGTTAAACTACAAAATCTGGAGAGATGTATAGTTATTTTTGAATGATTACTTTATAAACAACTGGTAAATTCCCCAAGACTCAACTCTCTTTATTCCTGCCTATCGAATTAATCTACAACTGAATCCATTATCAAAGTTCCATTTAGTAGACCTGTGGCTCGTACTTCAATTTTTTTTTTCATGAAGAAGAAACAGTGTATAAATAGTATTTAAATCATATAACCTCTGAACCTTGGTAATACTTCTTCAGGTAAAAAAAAATCATTTTCCTGCTACCAGTCTACTTCATTACCCCCCCCCCCCCCCCACCCCTTTAAAAAAAAAATTATTAGAAAATTAAAACATTTTTTATTATCATTGATTTACTTCATCATGTCCATGTTATTATCTAAAACATTTTAAAATTAACATTTTGTCAATTATTCATTAGCTATAAATAATAACAAGAGGCCAATGGGCCACATCGCTCACCTGAGCACACTGGTTGGGGGGATTTATTAACACTTTAATCTACACTAACTGAGGATACATGTGTATTTCCATATTTCATTGACTAATCATGGCTTTAGAAGATTTTTCAAGATTTTTCAACATGTTAAAGATTTTTATTTTCTATATGTTTTATCTTCTATTGTGGCCCCACCTATGTATTCCTATGTACAACCTTAAACGCCCACAGAGGCCCTACCCTACCCCCTGGGGTCATGATTTGGACAAACTTGAATCTACACTTCCCAAGGATGTTTCCATATAAATATGACTAATCATGACTTTGCTGTTCTTGAGAAAAAAATTATTAAAGATTTTATCTATGTATTCCTATGTAAACTTTGACTGCACATAGTGGTCCCACTCTACCCCCGGGGGTCACGATTTGAACAAATTTGGATCTACAATACCTGAGGATGATTCCACATAAGTTTCAACTTTTTTGACTAAGTGAATCTTGAGAAGAAGTTTTTTTTAAAAGATGCCATTAATTTTTCACTAAGTAGTAATTATCTCCCCTTGGAAGAAAAGGTGTGGCCCTTCATTTGAAGAAAACTTAATGCCCTTTATCCAAGGATACTTTGTGACAAGTTTGGTAGAAATTGGCCCAGTGGTTATCAGTCAGGGGCATAATGCAAACAAGTTATAATTGTCAAAAATAACTCAAATGAGTTATTTTTTTTGTCACAGTGAGTTACCTCTCTTTGCTATGACCTACTTTTTCCCAGCATTAGTAACTCAAACACGTTATCTCTCCAAAATAGTTTCAATAAATTAATAACTTGTTTAAGTTATTTTGTGTCATTCCTCCCTAACTTCACACCCTGTGCACCAAAGGGTTTTGCTTGTGCACCAAGACAAAAACAAATGTTTGATTAAATTTAAACCTTGCTCAATCCAGAAAAAATGTTCAAAGTCTTGGGAAAATTGGGGAAAGTTTTTTATTTAATGATAAAAATTGGACATATAAACCATGTAAATAAAACCACAAAATAAGGATTAAAATGCTGTTTATCTCCACCTCCTCACCAATTCTCCATTGGAGTCAGTGCACTCCATATAGTATTACATAATGGAATCCCAAAATGCAATGCATATTGGCAGGAAATACAAAACTCCCAAGAAATCAATGTCCAAGTAGGATATAAAAATAACTTATTTTAGTTACAGTGAAACCTGTCTTATCCGACATGCTGCGGGAAATAAAATCAATGTCGGATTAGACAGTGTGTTGGATTACCCAGTGTTGAATATTTCTGAGCGTTATGATTGGTGTCAAATGACTTCAAAAACCATTTTTCATTAGGTTTAGAGTACACGTATATTTAATTGTCAAAATGTTTGCATAATTGTATGTTTCTTTGTTGTATAAAATATACCTTCGTTAATTAGCATTTCTTTGAGCATTAGTAAACTCTGTAGTAATATACGATGTTTGTTTTTCTAATGGACAAAACAACTGCCGATCGCTTCGAGATGTTGCAATTTAATTTTTAGCATTTTACTAAAGCAGTAGATGGTTAAGTAAATATTTCGTTTACATGTACCTTCTTTAGACAGTGGTATTATTTTTTTCCTACACTACATTTCTCCCCGAATTTTCTCCACCGTTTACTTCTCAACATAGACTGTGCTATTAAATACCGTCACGCGACTTTTCATACCAACCGGACGTAACTCTAAAACACTGTGATTTTTATCAAACAATCGTAATATTTTATAATTTAATGGGCAACTTAAAGCGGTATTTTTGCTTCCAGCAAATCCTTTATGTGCACAGCCTTGCTTAATTCAGTGTATATTAACCCTGAAATGAAACCTTTTCTTTTAGACAAGATGTACCATTCAACTTGTGTATTGTCTACATGTTACGTTCGCCGTACTCTTTTTTTTTCGGGGCATGGCTTTATGAAGGACTGACTGCATGTTTGATTTTAATTTCAAGCTAAAAATCTTAATGTAATCAAAATATCATGTACTCTTTTTATTTTCTGTCGCGTGAATGCGAGAATAAAACTGATTACAACAAAGAGAATTGATTGCCTAATTTTTTAATTAAAAAACTGATCATTTAACACTAACATAAACACTTTCAAACTTACATGTAATTAACTACTCTCTAAGTAGACCAATCTTGCGGCCAAACGGGACATTCATGTCACCTGGCCTGCGGCTAATTACGGAACACCCGTGTAATTATGTCGGATTACCCAGGTGAAATCATAATGTAATTATCTAGTTTTGATGACAAAAAAGCGCCGGAATTCGGAATGTACAGTGGTCGGAATATACAGTGTTTTGTTCTATATAAAATTTAAAGAATTTTTTGGGAATAAAATATGAGGTCGGAAAGTCCAGTATGCCGGATTGCACAGTTGTCGGATTGGGCAGTGGGCACTGTATTATTAAAAAAATTTTAGTGTGTGTAAAATAACTTATTTAAGTTATTTTTCTGATAACTTGCTTGAGTTATAACCCTGACTGGTTATTGAGAATAAGTTGAAAATGTGAAAAGTTTATGACAACAACAGACAATGGACAAATTCTGATCAGAAAAGCTCACTTGAGAAAAATGTTACTTAGCTCCTTGGGTAAAATCACTCCCTCACACTTTTTTCACCGGTAAATTCTTTTAATGTTATAACATTGTTATTTTAGAACAGGACAAACTAGATGACAAAGATCCATCATCAGCTGTCTTGATAATTTTCCTAATGATTGATGAGGGTTTTTTTTGCTGCCCTTGTATAGAATTGATTTTTCTGTTGTTTAATTTGATAAATGACATTTTATTTGATTGATTCACTGAAAAACAATTGTGAATACTGGAAAGAAAAGTTATACTGGGGAAAATGCAATTTTTTTTTGGGGGGGGGGGGGATAATTGTCTGCTGTGGTAAATGTATTTTGTTATGTTATCAAATTTTGTTATGTTATCAATAAATGCTGGTTTATGTATTTACTTAATGATCTCTTTCTAAAGCAGTTACCTGCTTTTCATCATAACCATAGCACAATATATACAATCATGTAGTTGTATGGCACAACTGGTGATGTTAATAGATTTTTAAACCCCTGTTTTCTTATAAACATTTGCTAGATGGATGGATTGGAATAAAAGTTCTATTCAAATTCATCATTAATAAAACATTTATTCTACTACATGTATTATTATAATACAGGTATTAAATATTTAATCATGTTAATAGCATATGCAAAGCATCTATCACTACACAAATTTTGAATGTTAACATGGACTAGCTTCATAATTAAGGTACTTAAACATGCTGAATAGATAGATGATGAGGGTACATTAAGAATACTTCCTCATGAGTCAATATTTTACGACGGGAGTCAACAGACGATGGATGACGATCGCTTCCTCATCAGAACAAACATCTCCAGTAGATCATCATATTTAAGTACTTACACAACAAACAGATAAACTCCAGAGATAGAAGAAGGAAAAAACAGAATTTGTTTCACTTCAGAAGAATTGTTAGGCTTGAAAAAATAATGTATCCGATGTCTATTGTTAAAAACTTACAATATAATGGACGCCAGCTGTAAGCTGTCAGTATTAGTATTTTTTTTAATAATTTTTTTTGTGTGTTTAATTTGTGGAAAAGAATAATCCTTTTCTTTAATTTAAATCATTCCTGGCTAAATTACCTACCTGTGTTCCATTTTCATGTAGAAAACATGACTCATACAGTGACAAAGCTATAGGGGGGTTAAAGAGAAATATCTCGGTATCTGACTGGGTATCAAATTTTATAATGTACATGATAAAAGTTCATAATAAATGTAAACTTCAGGTGTAAGCTAATTTTCTCGAGGCATCCGATACCCAGTATCTTGTAGAACTTTAGCATTGCTGGACAGGTTGTAATTTGTTTGCCAAAAAGTTGAAAAAGTGTCATACTTGTCAACAAATTTCTAAAACAAATTTTTATTTTTTTTTTGAGTTGGTAGGGAACACCCCCACCCTATCCTTCATTTGAAAAATTCCTGGATCCACCCATGAGTCTGATCATACATGATTTACCCCACTTCGCAACTGAACTCCAGTCGATATACTTGAAGATAATGATTGTTACTGCTTTTTTTAAATGCTTTTTTAACTAGTACATTTTGGAGGGTCTAGCTACTAGAGTTCTGGGGCTCTGAATTCAGATTGGTCTCTGTCATTTGTCCTCCTTTTTTCAATCCTCAGTTTCCTGCCTTCTCGTTATTTCATAAAATATTCTGTCAGGTAATGGTTCTGAAATTTTAATGCATTTGACCACAATCTGAAGTCAGTTACCCTTCCCACATATAACATGTATAATATCAACTTTACAGGAGATTCTTCTCTCCCAGTGAGGGGTGTCCATTAGGTTATTTTTATTTATTTATTTTAGATATTTTACTACACAAATATTATAAAATCACAGGAGACACATACCTCCCCACCCCACCCCACGATCTGCTACAACAACTTGTTTTAAACTAAACGTGAAAAAAAGTTTGATCTCACTTTTTTGTAATTTCGATCATATATTAATCATGATTAAATAGGGAAATCATTTGAAAAGAACCTATCCCAAGAAATTAGAGTATGATTGCTTTGAAAGGAATAGTTACGGATCTGGAGTTGGACGGAGGGCAGACAGTGTCTTGCGCACAACATGGAGGGAGGATATGAAAGAATAAAATATTATAAAATGCAATTAAAATCAGTCCTGTTTAGTTTTATTTGAACAGTAACAAATTGTGGGTCAGTAATTTTTTAGGGGGCTTGTCAAATTTGCTTGGGCATTGATTAGTGAATAGAGAAGTAAAATATAGATTAAAAAAAATCCCATTATCACAGATGTGAGTGTTCTCTACACTTGTTTTTAAATTAATTAAATGAGTAATATCATATACACACAAAATGAATAAAACTCTCTCTCTTCACTCAGACATATATCTATACATGTATAAACATCAATCTACCAGCAAATTAAGGACTCTTTACATATGTGATATTCAGATTTAACACAGGAGTACACATAACAATTTTTTTCTGATGCACTAAAAAATAGGAATAAACCTAATTCAAACTCTTGTAAATTATTTAGACTGGTGTATGCTACTCTGTGGGTAATTTACTAAATGAATAAAACATGCAATGACAATGTAAACAAGCTCTTTATCGGTAAAAAATTAGGACATTGATTCAAACACAGTTAAGACCACCTGCAAATTAAAATAATGCATATTGTGTCGTCAACAACTAATACAAAGACAATCGGTATCAATGCACACTACTTAACGTAACACCTTGTGTAAATAGTATGCGCTGAAAAGGCAGTCTGTCATGCACTAGTAGCTAAAAACTATGCACGTGCATGTCAGCGCGCGTTTGACAGGGTGCAGACTTACCGAGGCCCCTAATATCACAAACACGTGTGATGCCCCTGTCCCCTCGTATCGCAGACTCTCCCTCAGTAAGGAAAGAGCGTCTAATTTCCCTCGCTCTGACATTCTTGTCTGCCTGCTGCCGAATACAGGAAGTGACCCGTGTTCTTCACTCAACCGGAAAAGGGGCGGATCTTTTCCCACATTAGCATGTTTCAGTTTATATTCCCTATACATGATGATCATTCAACAAAAATATTTACAAATGCTGCAGGCAGCCAGGTTGTACCCGATAGTTTATGCCGACTGTTGCTCTTGTTCACAAAGAAACTGAAATATTTTCCAAGCTCTAAATATTATAATACAAAATCAATAGTGATTATAGAGTTTATCCACCGGCATTTGTTAATGCTTTTCCCCATGTCACGAAAACATGTTTCATTTATTTATTATAATATTATTATTTATTATAATTTCTTTATCCAGATATGTCTCCATAACTTTATTTATTTCATGGCGATTGGGGAATTGATAAATTAAGATCATCTGTATAGTACTTAATCTAAAGTGGGGTGGGGGGGGGAGGCACTTTTTTCCCAAGATTTTTTTGGGGTTGCTTATTACATAGTATAAAAATGTTCATTTAAAGGCCAGTATATTTCCTCCCCATTTTACTTAAATTTTTTAGGACATTATTTGAAATTGCATATTTTTTTCAGTATAATTATCAACATTAATCAACATTGCAAAACCTCAAAAAGAACTGAGTTATCACCAGGAAACTTATGATTTTATGCAGATATGAATTTTTGACCTTGACCTCTTGACCTAAATATTCAGAAGGGTAAAGTAATGGGAATTATGAAAAAAAATTTCATTGAAAAAGATCGAAGAAACACTAAAGTGATTATTTGGAAACCATCTTTTACATGGTATGAATTTCTGACCTTGATCTTTTGACCTAAAATATTCAGTCAGTAGGAGTTATGATATATATAATTTCATTGAAAAAACAAAAATCATCTTTTAACCTTTTTGTTTTAGCAATATATGAATTTCTGACCTTGACCTCAATTAGTAGAGTTTTTTTTAGGCCATGGGCAGTTGATTGGGAAAAAACTCGAAGAAAAATAGTTATTATCTGTAAATCATTCTTTCCTATGAATGAATTACTGACCATGATCATCAGTAGGGGTCATCTTAAGCCAAAGGAGTTGTGATACAAAATGTCATAGCAAAAGCTTTTGCTATGACATTTTGTATCACAACTCCTTTGGCTTAAGATCACTCAGATAGACCCTAATTAAGACACACACCCCCTCCCTTTCAGTGAAAGGAGATTACAAAAAGCCAGAATAAGTCTCTGATTAGACTGTAACTCTACATGTTCAATGGAAAACTTGGAACATTTCTTGTTTGAGGAATACAAAGACAGAAATAAAATATTTTCTAATTTTTTTTAATGTTATAAAATATACAGAGCATCACTTTTAGGGAGTAGTACAGTAGCATTTCTGAATATTCAAACAAATTATTGTAATTAACCATGACAACATTTACAATGAAATCAAGCAAAACAACTGACCAAGTAGTATTTTGAAAGAGTTATTCATTTTTTAGTAGTCCACTGAAATCAAAATTTGATATAATGTAGAAATAATGAATCCTACCTATTTAACCAATTTATCTGTAAGAACTATGGTGGCTGTTGCCTGGATCACAATTTATAGTTAATTTATGCAAAATCTAGATCTTTCTTTTACATTTGCTTTTTTTTGTGTAAATTTTATAAAGAAGATGGGTGAACAAGGCGGGCAAAGTGCCTATAGAGTGACAAACATGAAGTGAAAAATAAAATCTCAATTGTATCAACATTTTCTTTGATATTTCATCTAACATTTTAGTATACTTTATGTAAAATCTCTACAATTTACAAAAATCTCACAAGACTGAAAGTATTTGCCTACGAAATAGCATACACACACTTAAGAGGACAAAAAGGATCATTTTCTCATACTTAAACAAAATTTTTCGATCTGAGTGGGTCTTCGCTCCATTTTTTTGAAAGTTGATCCTAAAAGTTTGCATAAAAATATACATTTTTTGGTTTACAAAAACATGGAGCAAAGACCCACTATACCTTAAAAGTACACTTTTATGACAAAGCATTTGCATCTTTCCGAGAAATACTTGAAGTCCACTAAGTAACGGGTCATATCACAAACATGATTTAAATGCCACTATTCATCAGGATCTGTGTAGCATAGTGGTTAATGTGTTTAGTCTCGAAGCAATATGATACTCCGGATTTTTATTGTTAGGGGTTCGAATCCCAGGAATACCATTTTATTTTTTTAATAAAAGAATAATTTTTTCCGAGATCTTTTTTTTCTCAGAAGTTTTGTTGATCATAATTCCATAAATTTCAATAATGAGAACTTTACTTTAAATACTTAATTCAAAAAAATTGAATATGATTTTTTAAATATCTGAAGCTATAGGCATTCTGCACGCCTTGTTCACCCATATTCTTCTTAACACAAAGAACTCTCGCACATGCGATCAAATGAGTCAATTTGTACAAAACAGTGAAGACACGATCTCTGTTATACATGTAGCAGACAAGTTTGTACAACACAGTGAAGACACGATCTCTGTTATAGCAGACAAGTTTGTACAACACAGTGAAGACACGATCACTGTTATAGCAGACAAGTTTGTACAACACAGTGAAGACACAATCTCTTTTATAGCAGACAAGTTTGTACAACACAGTGAAGACACAATCTCTTTTATAGCAGACAAGTTTGCTCACATGGCTTGGTCAGAAGCTCAGTGTTTAAGTCAATTAAGTTAGAAGTAAAATTTTATGACTTTTTTTAATCAGGTTTACTGAAGTGTTCTCTCACAATTTCAACAAAAATTAACAAAAGACAATCACAGCTCCATGTTTCACAGTAAAACCTCTTTCAGAACAAAAAAAAAAACAAACAAAAAACAAAAAAAAAAACAAACAAAAAGAAAACAAAAAAAAAACACAGTTATAATTGATCCTGTCTTTTTCCTGTTATCAAGACCTCAAGTTCTTAACAACACATTTTTTACAGTTGCTTATATTCACATATAAAAAAAAATAATTTTTCAAGTAAGAATATTACTGGTCTATCTGAGAGCAATATGGGAAAATAGAGTCACAGCATGCATTAGGAGATGTATATGGTGAGATTCAATGACTCAATTGGTGAGATTCAATGACTCAATTGCTATGTCCATATGAAGTCAAAATCACTGCTTCAATTATTTTATGTTTATTTTTGCATAAAATCCCAACACTGTAGGATACAACCATCACCACATCCAATGAGTATCAGCCTCTTTTTCAGTCCTATCGACCTTACATATTCTCAGGTCCCCCTGATCAGCTGAATCACGGTCTCCAGGGCTCTCTCTATTCCGTAGGAATCCAACATCTTTTGGAACACCTCAGGAGCTTTCTTCATCACATTGTCTTTGTCTGCTTCTAGCACTTAAACACAAATACAAAGACCTGTTTCATTTACTATGATAAAATACAACAGAGTTGAGAAAATATTTTTTTCAGTAGCTGTTTTTTCAGAATGTTACTTGGATTGTCTGAAATTCAATTAAAACAATCAACTAATTTACATGCATACAGAAATAAGTTAAACATTAAATTAATTCTTCTACTCACATTTTTTATGGACGATGACCTCTAACTTCAGCTCCGGGTGAAATTGACACAAAGGGTCAACCATAAATGTCCAGCACACACAGAGGGATGGGCTAAAAAAGAACATAGAATTCTGGCTTATTTGCTCTCCTTTAATATTTAATTTTTTTTCTTATTTCATTTTAAGAAAAAAAACTTATTTTAAAAGATTTGTGTATCTGAACTAACTTCACGGCTAATTCACCAGATTCAGTTAATCATGTTGTTGATTGATTTGTTACCTGTTGAATGCATTTTTTACAACAAAATATCATTTTAAAAGTTGATTAATTCCTTAGTTTGAATTAAACATGTTTGTTATTTATTGTAATTCAGTTACCTTTTTCAAATTAAAGCAATGTTAGATTTCAGTATTTATAAATGTCTGCACATTTACACAGAATCATGTAGATTTATTAAGGATAGATTTATTAATGATATTTATCCAAGCTAAACTTTAAGCAATTAATGTCTCATAAACGGGCAAGGCTTGGGATTCTTCTACAAAAAGTCTATAAAATTAGATAAGCAGTGGGCAGTCAAAACATGGGTGTGAATTTCTTACGATGTCGAGATACGTCCGTGCATGACGAGCGACCATCTGATAATCAGTTTAGTTTACCAGAAAATTGCTCCGATGTCGACATATACCAGGTAAATTTTGCTCTTTGTACTGGGAATGTATGTTGACATACATGTACCTGAGTTTTTGCAAATCATTTATATAGTAAATACTGCCGGGACTGCAGACAGACATGGACATATCCCAGGTTGTCGACATATCCGATGTCAAGATACCGAAGTTTACCTGTAGTTTCCTTGTGTCGTGACAGCCCACCGATTAATCACTATATATACATTTGCTGTGATTTTCTACTTAACCAACCATGAAATTAATATGAATGCCATTTTTGGGTATACTCAACTGTAGAAATATATACGGTAAAACTCGGGCTAATGTGATGTCACAATGAGGCTACAGAGACGTTAATAAATTTATAATGATATACAGCAGAGAGAAATTCAATATATTTTTGGTGCTTTTAGACAAGTAAAATGTAAATACAGTCAAACTCCGTTATCTTGAACTTGATGGGACCGAGAAAAAACTCTGAGGATTCGAGATATCGAGGGTAAAATACTTAAACAAGAGGCCCATGGGCCACATCGCTCACCTGAGCAAGCCATGGGTTTTTAGGTCCATAAGCAAAAGCACAAATCGGTTCAGTATTGAAAAGATTACCGGGGGTGGGGTGGGGGAGGAGGGATTGGGGGGGAGTTGTATTTTAAACTACCTGATGATGCTTACATGTCAACATAACAAATGGCTTTGTTGTACTTGAGAAGATTTTAACAACATTTTTCCATATATTCCTTTGTAAAAATTTGATCCCCCATTGTGGCCCCTCCTTATCCCAGGCGTCATCATTTGAACAAACTTGAATCTACACTACCTGAGGATGCTTCAATATCAAAATGACTAATCATGGCTTTGCAATTCTTCAGAAGAAGAAATTTTCCTATATATTTCTATGTAAAACTTTGATCCTCCATTGTGGCCCCGCCCTACCCCCAGGGGTCACGATTTGAACAAATTTGAATCTACACTACCTGAGGATACTTCCATATAAATATGACTCATCATGGCTTTGCTGTTCCTAAGAAGAAGATTTTAAAAAATTTTCCATTATATTTCTAAGTTAAACTTTGATCCTCCATTGTGGCCCCGCCCAACCCCCGGGGGTCATGATTTGAACAAACTTGAATCTACACTACCTGAGGATACTTCCATATAAATATGACTCATCATGGCTTTGCTGTTCCTAAGAAGAAGATTTTAAAAAATTTTCCTTTATATTTCTAAGTTAAACTTTGATCCTCCATTGTGGCCCCGCCCAACCCCCGGGGATCATGATTTGAACAAACTTGAATCTACACTACCTGAGGATGCTTCCATATAAATATGACTCATCATGGCTTTGCTGTTCTTGAGAAGAAGATTTTTAAAGATTTTTCCTTTATATTTCTAAGTAAAACTTTGATCTTCCATTGTGGCCCCGCCCAATCCCCGGGGGTCATGATTTGAACAAACTTGAATCTACACTATCTGAGGATACTTCCATATAAATATGACTCATCATGGCTTTGCTGTTCTTGAGAAGAAGATTTTTGATTTTGAGAAGAAGATTTTTCCTTTACATTTCTAAGTAAAACTTTGATCTTCCATTGTGGCCCCGCCCAACCCCCGGGGGTCATGATTTGAACAAACTTGAATCTACACTACCTGAGGATGCTTCCATATAAATATGATCAATCAGGGCTTTGCTGTTCTTGAGAAGCAGATTTTTAAAGATTTTTCCTATATATTTCTATGTAAAACTTGATCCTCCATTTGTGGCCCCGCCCTACCCCCGGGGGTCATGATTTAAACAAATTTGAATCTACACTACCTGAGGATGCTTCCACATGAGTTTCATATTTCCTGGCCCTGTGGTTCTTGAGAAGAAGATGCTATTAATTTTTCACTAATTCTTTATTATCTCCCCTTGAAAGAGGGCTTGGCCCTTCATTTGAACAAACTTGAATTCCCTTCACCCAAGGATACTTTGTGGCAAGTTTGGTTGAAATTGACCTAGTGGTTCTTGAGAAGAAGTCGAAAATGTTAAAAGTTTACAGACAGACAGACAGGCAGACGGACAGACAGACAGACGGACGCCGGACAAAAAGTGATCAGAAAAGCTCACTTGAGCCTTCGGCTCAGGTGAGCTAAAAAAATAAGTAGTTGGGACTTTCAAATCACTTTGACATACCCATGGTAATCGAGATATCAGTGTTTGAGATATGGAAGATCAACTGTATAAGGAATGTTTTTAAGTTTAGTGTGAATTATTCTTGGGTAAATCACACAGACTTGTCATGAAGGCATATTTTTCATGAAGCGTTAGCGTGTTTCATGAAATATGCCTACATGACAAGTCTGTGTGATTTACACACCAATAACTCACACAAAACTTTAAAACATTCCTTAAATAAGCAACAAAACTGTTGCTGAGGAGGTCATCACTTTGTGTGTTTTACCTATTAGAAATATGTGGACTTTGGAGCACTAATACTGATGAGTCATCAGAATCTGACGACACTGTATCTGGATATTTTTCTGAGAAGTGTTGAAATGTTTCTTGTCTTTGTAAAACCCATCGAGAATACTGCTCCATCAGGGAGAAAAAGGGACCCACGGCATTGTTGTCACTCAGTCTGAAATTCAGTTTAAGAAAATCGACCAAACATCCTCATGTACATGTGGGAACTAGAAAGTATGAATATCCCATATTCCATAGTATAAAATAAAAAAGAAAGGCACAAAACAAATTATTTACTAATCTCTGACCCCAGGATCATTTTTAATCTCCAATAAAATTTTACTGAAATTCAATAAACACAGTGTTTGTTGCATTAACTCACTGAAGTAATGGCTGGTGAAGTCTCTGTAGAACATCATCTCCCACTGACAGACCCAGGTTCTCAATGGTCACATGATCTTCCTGAAAAATACGCCAAAATAATCCTCTCCTTAACAGAAATGATCACTACCGAGTCACCTTCGAAGCAGAACAACTCTCCATCTATTTATCTGTCACTACTGAGTCACCCGCTAAGCAGAACAACTCTCCATCTATTAATATATAACTCTGTCACAGTTTTTTATCTCTCAAATGGTAAGATCAGTAGATTTTAATTTATGGCAAAGTGCTTGTCATAAAAGCATAACGAAATCAAAGTTTCTTACAAGGAGACCTTAAAATTGACTTTTGACCTACATTCATACTGATAAATATGTCTGCTTTAAATCTTGAAAGGTAAAGCTTTTTCTTTTTGCATATATCCACTGTTTGTCACCATCATATTAAGAATTACAGAAGTTTCTGACCTTGATCTTCATCAACTAAGGAAATATGACCTTGACCTATATTACTATAAACTACAGAAGTTTGTGAGCTTCAAGTAAGAACTTTTTTAAAAAAGAAAAAAAAATCCCAAATATGTGGAAAACAAAGGTCAGATGCAGAATCTGAATCAAGAATGATATTTAGTATAATAAGAATGGATCATTCAAAATCCCTGCAAGTTTGGTCCAAGTTGGGCTAACTTTTACTTGGAAAATGGACCTGCTCCAGAAATTTTAACCAATTAGTCCACATCGATATCAATGTCAGGTAGAACATCAGCTCATTTTAACTTAGGGCAGCTAAAAAGGAGTTTCACAAAACTTACTTCTGTCTTTTTTGCATCAAACTGTACACTGAATTCATTTCCCAGGACATTTCCTTCTATACTGAAGCTGGCGTGTCTCTCTGTAAGTATGAAAGGAAAAAATTGTAATTCAGGAGGAATAACACAGTTTGAATCAGTTATATATCCAGTACATTTATGAAATGTTTTATATCTACAGTGAATGATAATCACTTTGCTCTGAACTTGAATTTACTCTTGTTTTGCTGTATAAAACAAATGTAGATCTATAAGTTAATTTTATATTTAATTGCCTTGTTAAAATTTTAACCCTGAATATCAGGCTCAGTGGTTATATGCATTGATTACAGTAAACTGCGAGCCAGGAATTAACTCACAACTGGATTTTAATAATTTCTCCTGTGGTTTTACACTATAATACATTGTTGCAAGCCATGGGTTTTTAGGTCCATTCTATTTTTACAAATCAAAGGCTGCTCACTGCAACATGCACTTGTTCTCATGAATATTAATGAGGAACATTCAACCAATGAAATAATGAATCTGATTTTTTGTCCACGTCGTCCAATGATAGAAATCCTTTCTTTGGATGTACCAGGAACAAGAGGTCTAATTTTGGTTTGAAATTCTTCCTCTATTTAATTAACTTATTTACACAGAAAAGTACCTTTACTGATCTCCTGTTTTCTGTATTTTTCTATGGAGACAGGTGATACATACCTTTACTGATCTCCTGTTTTCTGTATTTTTCTATGGAGACAGGTGATACATACCTTTACTGATCTCCTGTTTTCTGTATTTTTCTATGCAGACAGGTGCAGAGTTGTGGAAAACTTTTTCAGATAGCCAGTCATTCGGACTGGCAAGAAGACAAAATAAGCCGGTCCGAAGTGATTTTTGCCGGTCCGAAATAGTAAGTCACAAAATAAAAAAACCCATAACATTTATTTACTTCATTACACATTTATTTACTTAATAATAATATAACATTCAGTCTCCATTTTCAAGTCCTCTTCCATTTTTTTTTTTTTTTTTTTTTTTTGCATTTATAACAATTCTAGATTTCACCACTTTTGGGCACTGGTGACAATGCTTATTCAGCACAGTAAATTTAATTTTTTTTTTTTTAACATTTATGCATTTTGGAATTACATTAAACCTAGAAAATGAGTCTAAAAAAAATTGTGGAAATTCTGTGCATCGACAATAAAGAGATCAACACAATCAATGAAAAAAAGAAATCCGGGACAGTCAGAAGAATTTGATTTATCGCTTTCCCCAACTGTGTTTGAATTCTCTCTGTCGAAATTTTTACATATTTAGCTTGTCTTTATCTGTTTCTTTACATTTTCAACCTAATTCTGCCCCAGTTGTAAATTAGGTCACGAGACCATGCTGGTTTCACTTTCATTTACAGCCTCGATCTTGTGTAAAGAACAAGTATTACGCAATCGCATATAAGGTACGATATTTAAGCTGGGAGGTGCGCCGAGGATAAATGGTAAAACAAAAAACTTTAACCAAAAAGGGGCCGGTCATTTGGACCGACATCGATAGTATTTTTACCGGTCACACGCATTTTTTGTCGGTTTTGCCGGCATGGCCCGCAGTTTTCCACAACTCTGCAGGTGATACATACCTTTACTGATCTCCTGTTTTCTGTATTTTTCTATGGTGACAGGTGATACATACCTTTACTGATCTCCTGTTTTCTGTATTTTTCTATGGAGACAGGTGATACATACCTTTACTGACCTCCTGTTTTCTATATTTTTCTATAGAGACAGGTGATACATACCTTTACTGATCTCCTGTTTTCTGTATTTTTCTATGGACAGACCAGTTATGTCCTTTGTTCTTTCAATCTGAAAACAAAGTCCTATTCATTTAAAACGATGCAATTATTAATCTTCATTAATAAAAAATGCAATCCAAAATTCTTTTTTATGTCGAATTCTTTTTGCATATACATGTATGCATGATAAAGTTTCTTTATCTACAATGTACATGTTTATTTACAAAACCGTTTGTTTATTCTAATATAAGTGAACTTATCATTAATGTAGATCACTATATATTTATGCGAGATAGCTATTCATTATTTATACGCAGGTAGGTTAAGGCTTCCCGTAGAATATCACAGTGCACTCTGTGCCTTCACATCTCTGAACTACCAAAATATGACGTCATAATGGAAAATGACGTCAGGTCACTGCAAACTTGAGGTGTTATGTCGGGGAGAGTGTCATGAACTTTACACGTTATTTCAAACTGCATGTAAAATGCTAGATAGCTTTTGCAAAATTCACGGGTCGTTAAAGGTGTTTTAAGTCTTATATGTCCGAATATTTTAAAAATACACTGCTTACCTACCCTTGATTGAAATTCAGCATGTTCAAAATGCTTATGAAATATATACTTTTGAAATGTACTCTGTTTTATACCCGTGGTTGGAGGTAGAATTTATTTTGTGTGTATAAAAGAGTCTGGCGCAGGTGATTAATGAGGATTAATCTGAGAATTTTTGTGGAAATCTGTAAGAGGAGGTTGTTCTCTAACTGAATCTTGCTAGAGAAAAATGTGTATTGGCTTTGTTTTAATAAAGATTACGATATTGTATGGAAAATACCCTCAAATTTGTAGGTAAGTTGAATTTCTCAGGAAATATTTTGTACCCAAGTAATACCATGACTTTTCCCAAGCACATTTCGAATATATAAGAATACGATGAGTTTATTTATATAACAAAATGTTAATAATTATCATGTTAATCAGCTGCGCCGAAGCGATTTATATGAAACACTTCAAAAAATTATAAATGACCGTCACGTGATCAACAGAGTCATGTGATATCATAACAAATATGTTAATATATAGCCGAGGAAACCCTTTATATAAATTGAAAGTACTAAAGTTCATTACTTACAAATTAAAACCAAAACCGACCTCGCAATGACATATTATGTTTTGAGCACATTTTAAAGCTTCGGGAAGCCTTAACATAGCTGCGTAAGAGAAATAAAATTTTCGCGAATTGTGTTATTGTTATAATAAATCCTTTACATTACAAATATGCCCGAGAATAAAATATTCGTGAGCAGACAGGCCCGCGTAATTACGCGAAAATAAAGTTCCCACAAATAAAAAGTGATTTACATGATTTACAATGTAACATATCATTTTAAAATAAGTCAGTGATATTTTTCTTAATTCAATACAACAAAACTTGATGTAGCTCATCTTTTTAAGACAGTTTTAGTGCTATTTCTGCACTCTGTTCATTTATATGTGTATTTCTGTGTAAATGTATGCTACATTTACATATCTGTTTCTGTGAGTATAATTCATGTCCTATCTACTGCATCATCATGATCATATTGTAACTTCATAAATACCTACTGTGGATCACTTAACTTTCGTGACACTTTATTTTCGTGAGAATGTTATTTGGTATTTATAAGCGAGACAAAATTTTTAAGAATTTTGGTCATTGCTATAAATAATCTTTTATATTACTAATATATGCGAGATTAAATTTTTTTGGCGAACACACAGTATCGAGTAATTATGAAAAATTAAAGTTCTCGCGAACAAAAAATGATTTACAGTATGTATGCCAGTTATATTTACTATATGTGCACATGTATTTATTTATACAAACTATGTTAGTCAAAACTCTAAAGAGCATATGATTGTTTCACAAATCCCATGTTAAATTTTCTGATTTTTTTAAAATTGAAAACTTGTACCTGTGACTGTAGCCTCTCTACTTCAGCCTGAATTTCCTCTGGTTTCTGTCTCCTCTTTACATACTGAAGCTCATACCTAGAAAACCCCAAGAACTGAATCAAGATCACTGTAAGCTGGGTATCAACCGTATCATTACCATGTAAACATGACAACTAAATAATGATCAATGTAACTCAGATTTTACTTAGAAAAACCCTCAAAATTTTTTATGATTTTTCTTTTAGGTTTCTTTCTTACATTAATGATGAATCTAGCAAAAAAAGGTATATATGTTTGACAAAATATTGTTGCACATGTATTTGGCAACTTAGAAATTGAAATCTTTTAAAGCAGTCATAATTTTAAAGATAAGTAGTTTGTGAGTTATAAAATAATTGTGTTTTTTTGTCTTGGAGTCTTACAGGTCCTGAGATCTTTTAGACACTGCTACAGTCTTCTGTTTGATTGTATTCCTCAGTTCAGCAATTTCTTGTTCAAGCTGCGACACAACTTCTGCCAGACCGTTAGTGAGACTTTTTCTTTGAACAGATCTCGACAAAACTGAAAGTGTCCGTCCCAGAGCAAGATCCCCTTCCCCAAATCTACAGAAAAAAAAACAAACACAAATCTGGACAAAACTGTGAAAAACTTAAAATAAATAATAAATTGAACAGATCTGGATCAAACTTCATGTCCAGTCCAAAAAATATTTCTACCTACGTAGCTACTTATAGCTACCTAGGTATTTAAACCTACCAGGTAGTTTTTTTACATACTTTTTCCTTTATTTGCATATCTGGAAATGCGCTGGAATGGTGCTATATGGTGAGTGTTAAATTTCTTAATACAGTCACATTGATGATGAATACAACAAAAATTTTGGCCAAAAAATGAAATTACTTTTTAACTTATCAATTTTGCATCAAAACTGTGTCCAGTTTCATTTCTGGTAGATAAGGATCCAAACTAAATCTACAATGTCTTACAAATCTGTATGAATTTTAAAACTTATCTTCATGCATTCTTAGATGAAATGTTTTTGGGATGATTTTCATGCATTTCCTCTCAATTCTCCACTCTCATAATGTTTTCAAATTAACACCCTGAATTTTGCCATGCAAGTGCATAAGATGATAAACAACAAGTTTGACCTGTTTTAAAGATGCGCTTTAATTATTAATTTTATTTTCAAAGACAGGTAAAAGTAGGTAGAAGTAGATACGTGAAGGTTTAAATACCTAGTTAGCTATTAATAGCTACGTAGGTAGAAATAGTCTTTGGACTGGACCTGAACTTCGCTGCAATAATGTAGCCATCTCAGATACCGGTATTTTTAATCAGATGTTTTCAGGAGAGCCCCCCCCCCCCCAAAAAAAAATGGAGAGGGCTACATTATTGCAGCTACATGAAACTGATTTAGTGTTTGTCAAAGAGTGTGATCTTCTCCCCAAATCTACTGAATCAAAATATCAGAAAGTTTCAAAAGTTATGAATAAACACAGGTCTAATGAATATTGTGAATCAGGTACCTATATACTGTTAGTATATAGGTCCCTGGGTGAATCAATTAAATACATCCAATAGCTTCCATTAAATTAAATAAAAAGAATATTGTCAGGGAAAAACCTAATGATGGACACTCGGGAGTCGGGCGTACTGAGTACTAGATTTACCTCCTGCCAGTGAAATTCCTATCACTAAGACTCTTAGTAAGAGTTTGCGTATCTTTTGTCAGGTTCCTATGCAAATGACAGAAGGAAATCTTCCATGAAAACCTGGGCTTTCCTTTTAATATAGGTAAGGGTCAAATATTTGTTTCAGAGTTGTGTTATTTCACTGCTGTTCTTCAGTTCTTGAATCATACAATGAATGGTTTGTTTTTCTATAGAATGTTGGTGTGTAAAAATGTCAACTTAAAATAATATTTGATACAAATGAATTTCCAGTAAAAATATGAGAAATACGAATGTAAAATATATACAACATTCCTTGCACACAGTCACTCACGTTTCTATTTGCTGTTGAACATCTTTTTCAAGTTGTAAACTTCCCGCCATTCTCACCACCGGATGTTATATTCACTAAGAAAATTGAAATAAGAAACCGAAACCGATAAACCCGTTATATTTCGGAATTTAAACGATTGTTGGTTTCGTGTCCTCCCAGATGGGATTTTTTGATGGGGAGAGCATGTGAGTCAGACTTGAAAAGAGATGTAGTAGTCGTTTTAAATTCCCAGCACAATAGTAGATGAAAATGGGGGGGGGGGGGGAGCGTCACTATAACTTATCATGCCTTTTGATTTGAGAAATTTCAGTTTGGGAGGGTGGGCATAATAAATTTGAATAGTTTTCAAAATTGTGTTGTCAGTAACATCCTTTCATTTCTTTATTTTATTGAATAACCTTGATGAATAATGTTTTTTCTTAATTAATTTATTTATTTATTTTTTATGTTTTTAATGATATTATTTTTTTAAAAAAAGCCCCTCACATGATTCGAACTCCCTCCAAAGCGCTCTGTCATGCGCAATGACGAATATGTTATACTGTATAACGTATTCACTACGCTATACGCAGTTTTGTTACGGTTATCATTGGAATGTGTCAGTGTGGTTTAAATAAACGAATTTGATGAAGCATGTAATCTTTTTTCCAGAAATTTTCGTTTTCATATAGAAAGGGTTCAGACTTCCCCCTTTTTTGAAGCAGAAAATATCCCGTAATTTAAGCGTTTATTAGGAATGGAGACTTGACCCATTCATATTAAAAAATCATTTTTTATCGCTCCAATATACCCATTTTCTACTAATATGCTAAATTGTTAACTTCAAAACAAATTATCAATTAATAAAATCGGTCACGGAAGCCTAGTAGTAGGGCGCTCGCTTCGTGAACGAGAGGCCCGGGTTCGATTCTCGTTCGCCGCGCCGCGTCAAACCTAAGACGTAAACATAGGAAGTGACTGTTCCTTCGCTTAGCGTCCGGCACTAGAAGTGAAAGTCACGGATCTTTTGGATGAGACCTTAAAAACCGAGGTCCCGTGTCACGGTTAAACATGTCCAAGAATGAATTCGATGTCGACGACATCGACAATATCATGTTGATATCATATTGACATCGATCCAAATCAGTGTTATGAAATTAGAATTACTGGATACCATATATATATGTAAGATTGATGGCTATGTCGATATCGACACTAACATGACGATATCGTATCGATCCTGATCTGTAAAATTTCTTTTCAAGTTAATGTGTAACATAATTATAGAAGACCACAAGCGATGTCGATATTGATTCATTTTTGACATGAATATGTACATAAATAGAGGGTTAGGGGTTGTTATTGTCAGGGGTTAACGTTAGGGTAAGGTTTTTGGTTAAGGTTAGAATGAAGGTTGTTAAAAACATGTTTTGAACAATCATAATTCGATATCGATACGATATCGACTAGGCCTGAGTATCGAAAGCTACCTAACGATACGATACGTATCACGATACAGTCATGCGATACAATATGTATCATGATACAGCTGTCAACAATTGAATTATCTAATATCTTTACATACTCTTGTTTGCTAATCTCCACAATTATAGAAAACATAAAAAGAATATCTCGATACCCCTAACCAAAGTTATCTATAGGTAGACTTGTAGTCTTAGCATTGCATTTTTTCATTGCTACCTTGTTTTCAATCATTTTTTCACATTAAAATTTGTTAGTTTCCATGTAGAGTTTTCAAATAAGACAATTAAAATTAACTTGAACTGTATCATGATACATACATGGCGATACGATATGCGTATCGTAAGACCTTGCGATCAATACGATCGATGTATCGCTGTATTGTTACACCTGACGAGATCGACAGCAAGGCAAAATTAGTGCTCGGAAATTGTATACGCACAAGTATTGTATAAAGAAATACAACCACATGAGCAATGATAAAAATGATTCGAAGTAGAAACGATATTGTCGATATCGACAATATCGATGGCAAATACAATTTTTGTCAATATAAAGTATTTAATTATAGACACCCATATACACCGACAAGGACGGTACCAACCAAGGGTTGAGCAAGCATGATTTGATATCGAAGCGATATCGACGATATCGACACTATTATGAAAACTTCATAATGTGATAGTATTCAAGCAACTCACATATAAAAAAGACACTGTTTTTTTCCTCGGGGGGGGGGGGGGGTAATCCATTGAACAATCATGATTCGAAATCGATACGATATCGTGGATATTGACACATAGGAAAACGTTGTAAACAGAACGTATTCAAATATACGCATAAGTATAAAGAAATAATGTAGCAAACTAAAAAAAAAAATAATCTGTCGATATCGTAACTACATCGTATCTTGGACATAACTCGTCACGGTAGGCATTGGCACGATAAGGAACCCTCACTGCTCAATGGCCCTGAGTGCCGAGTTAAAGTCTACATTTGAACCCCTTCACGGTGCACAGTGACGTCTCTAAATAGAGAAATACCGACATCTTACGAACGAACGTAACCAAAAAAGGGGATCGTTCATTGTATTCACAGTTGCATAATTGAATTTTTCAATGTTATTGCGATTTCAAAAGATAAAATCCCCGCAGGATACCTCAAAACTACTTCTTGTCGTAGTCGCTACCGTGACGCTACAATACATTTCAATGGACATTTAAACGAGCAAAGGGGTTCAGAAAAGGGAAATGAAGGGAAAATGAAAAATGTCTTACTAGAGAAATACCGACATCTTACGAACGAACGTAACCCAAAAAGGGGATCGTTCATTGTATTCACATTTGCATTATTAAATTCTTCAATGTTATTGCGATTTCAAAAGATAAAATCCCCACAGGATACCTCAAAACTACTTCTTGTCGTAGTCGCTACCGTGACGCTACAATACATTTCAATGGGACATTTAAACGAGCAAAGGGGTTCAGAAAAGGGAAATACACATGTAAAAGGAAAATGAAAAATGTCTCATTTTGAAGCATGAAGTCAAGGATTCTGTCTTACGAAAAAGAGGGCGAGGGAGAATTAAAAAAAAACAACAACATAAAACAATGGCCTTTTTGTTCATGGTACTGGCTAAACTTTGTACATGTAAATCATATACGGTGCCAATTTTGATGTACCAGAGGTGCATTTAAAGTTACATAGTGAGTCAATATCATGTTTCTTTTAAGTTTTCTTTATCTTGTTGGGGCAAATTAAAATTATTTTTACTTATATTTTTCTCCACAAAAGTAGATTTTTTAGGTTCTGAAACCTGTAACTTTCTGAAACGTAATACTTTCAAGAATTGAATAAAATTTGCATGTGTCTTGCAAAAATTTTACTTCTGTCAATTTTCCCGTTTGTCCGTCACAGTGTCTCTTTAAAAAAAAATTATGTCTCTTAATTAAGTAGATTCCTTATTTTACGCGAGTACTTAATATCGCGAAATGCCGAAGGGCGTCAAAGCGCAAAAGCAATAATTCGCGAATGGGTGATTTACCTAGAGATTTTCTCCAGAATTTTCTTTCTCCGTCAATAAGAATGTTGAAATTTTCTGGAAAAAAATTTATTACCTATCTACCAACCCAATTCTTATATGATAATGTATGAAGAAAATTTTGTTCCCCAAAAAATTGGACACCCCCCCCCCATGAAAAAAGGATTTTCGACTTTAAACCCCCCCTTTTTTTTTTGTTTTGTTTTGTTTTTGTTTCTTTTTTTTTTTTGCTTGTCAGATTTTTTCTTGTAAGTTGATTTTTTTCTCTGGCTCCCCCAACCCCTCCCACTTTTAAAAACGAAAATTATATGTTTCTAATTCGACTAATGAATAATAAATAAATCTGCAGCAATATTACTTTTACCAGAAAGAATTCATGACTGTTTAAAAAATGAAAAAAATATCAGTAGAAACTACTTCTACAATCAGTGTTCTTTTTATTTACCTGTGTGCACAGGTACATTTGAAGCATGCCTTGACAACTCAGTGAATCAGCATCATGCACTTGATGTCTTCAAATTATTCACATTTTGAGAACTATAGTATCTTTTTGTCAGTATACTCGAATCAATCTATGATTTTTTTTCTTAGAGATGACGCAAGTTATAATTTCGACTATAGTTTTTTTTTCTCTGTACATTAGAGCTTCGGTCAAAATTACTCTGAGTGCGGGGTCAAAGTTACCCTTCACGTATACAGTGTATCTTGTAATTTTATATTCTGACGAATAATGCATGCTTAACAAACAATGACATAATGGTACATAGCTTGAGTACAAAGAAAATTTAATAAATATACACCACCCACAGCTTGTAGCATCAGAGGGGCCTGCCCCCACCTTTTCCACACATTATTTTTTACTGTTCGAAATGTTCATTCGAAGGCTTGTTGCCCCCCCCCTCCCCCTCCCTTTGTTGCAGTACAGTCAAATAAGGCTAATGTAGTAATGTATGAAAAAAAATTGGTACCGAAAGAAGAATTTTTTTGTTTTGCTTGTCAGGTTTTTTCAGGTATGTTGATTTTTTTTCTCTGGCTGACACCCCCCCCCCCCTTTTAAAAAATATAATATAATTATAATCCACATATCTATACAGATATAACATATATCACGAAAGGCAGCCGAAAGATAAATGAAGTGAAGATTGCAACATAATACATCATCCAAGAAGACACTGTCTATCATATGAATGCTCGTTTATTTCTTTGAAGCGATATTTCACATAAAGAAAAACCTACCCTTCTTTCTTTATGAAGTTACTTTTTCTTTTACTAGATACGATATGGAAAAAAAAATTATTGCATATACATGCATTGCCCCATTCCACTTTTATAAGGATTGTACTATATGGATCGTAGTATTCCATATATTTACTTAAATGTAATGAAAATGGACATTTGATTCGATTAGTTGAGCTTCGACCCCCTCTCCCTCTCCAAGTACACAAACATCTACGCGCGACCACTTTAAAAATATTACGTTTTCCGGAGAAGTGCCAACTATTTTCTGATTTTTGATGGTTGATTTCTGAAACGTTAGAAAACAATGCTACATTGTATAATTCATTACAACAATTATTGTCCATTGTGCTCTCTCTCTCTCTCTCTCTCTTACAAACACATAAATGTACACTTTTTAGGAAGCTCTAAACACTGCACACTAAAGAGTTCTATTTGTAGGGTAGTTTTGTTGAGTTAGAGTGATCTGTTCTTGGAAGAAAAATAGAATAAATGGGAATCGACACTTAATGACATAATTTCTTATGAATTAAAGTATTCTTAATGTTATGTTAGACCAAGATTAAGTAACTGAATACATTATTTCCATTAATTTTCCCGATGCAAGTAAACAACAGTGATTTCTGTTCACAAATAGTTCATTGTCTTTGAACAATATTTCTGCAGAAATAAGGCAGGCACCCTATGTTGAAAATGAACTAGATACACTGAATATGTGCACCTTTGTATGATATATTTTTCTCAAAGTCCAAAAAGCATTTTTATTAGTGTTTCGAGCTTCCTTAAATACAAGACACTATTTAAGCGCATCACCTAGTATCTTGTTGCCTTTGCATGGATCTATACAGGGTATGAGTTTAGATTAGATCCATGCTATAAAACGTAACTTTCCCCAAATGAACACAGCGCACACTAGTATATGTATATACATGTATACGTATATTGGTATAACCACTGAAGCATGACAAACAGCTGACAAATGTGTTTCCTAACCCGTCATAGGTATTTTGGCGTATTTTCTTCTATTTGTCTGCTTTTAATTACATTGTAAGTGATTACAGAAAATTAGACAGGAGAAATTATCATTTGCAAAGTGATTAAAATACTGTCCGTTCTATTATACACATATATTTAATTTTTCCGATTTATTAATTTTAAACAATAACTGGTGCAATAACTGGTCCCGGGAAAACGACCGAGATACGGGAAGTTAGGGCGAGTTACGTTCGTTCGTAAGATGTCGGTATTTCTCTATTGTGAAGCATGGTCAAAGATTCTTTCTTACGGAAAAGAGGGCGAGGGAGAGGTAAAAAAAACAACATAAAACAGTGACCTTTTTGTTCATGCTACTGGCTAAACTTTCAACATGTAATTATAAAATTTACAGTAAGTTGGGTTTTTTTCCTGACTTTTTTAACTGATTATATGGGGAAGAGTGATGTAACTTCAACCAACTGGGCAATTTCGATCTATCGCGAGTACCAGATAAAGTTGTGTTTAATAACTTTTATTGTGTATGTACGTACATCTATTTTCTGCAGAAAAAAATCAGTTTATAGTGAATTGTGCTTTTGACAATAATTTTAGTTCTATGAGTGTAAGTTGCTCATTGGCATATGAAGATATCTAAGATGAAGCTCTATCAACCTAAAAATTACGAACAGGCACAACCCCCCCCCCCCCCCCCCCGGTCGGATTCATGATATGGCTATGATGCATGTATATTGAAGCCGGGTTTAATTTTTCGCAGAATATAGTATTTCGAACAAGTATTTCTTAGCCATTACATATACGACGAATTATCACCCCTGACAATATTGAATAGAAAATTAATCAATAGCCATTCCTTACTTGACATATATGAGAATGTTTTTGCAACTAAAACTCATGCAAATTTAATTCAAAATATTTATTTTTTACAAATTAAAATGCAATGCAAGTCAGATGAATAGAAATTGACTTAAGTTACCCCTGTGCACATAAATGCTGCGTCGGTGAGTAAATTTTAGACACGTAGTATCAGGCAAATTTTGTTACATGTAATACGATAATGTATGAAGAAAATATTGTTGTGAAAAACATGTTGGACCCCCCCCCCCCCCCCCAAACACACACATACACATGAAATAGGATTTTAGAGTTTAAACAATTCCTCTCCCGTTTTTATCCTTGTCAGATTTTTCAGGTAAGTTGAATTTGTCTTTTCTGCCCCCCCCCCCCCCCCGGTCCTACTTTTAAAAACGAAAATAATATATGTTTCTGGTTCGACTAATGGAAAATGACGCAATAAATCTGCAGCATTTACGATTTTTACCAGAAAGAATTTATGACTGTATTAAAATAAATGAAAAAGTATCAGTAAAAACTAACGTATCAATGAAAACTCGTCTGTTCGGGTCATATGCCTGTGTGTGCAGGCACATTTGAAGCAGGCCTTGACAACTCAGTGAATCAGCGTAGTACTCGTGCACTCGATGTCTTCAAAGTATTCACATTGTGAAAACTGCCGTATCTTTTTTAGGTATACTTGAATCACTCTTTTCTTGTTTTACAACAGAATAATATGATTTTTTTTCCTTACAGATGACGCAAAATATAATTTCGATTATAGGGTTTTTTGTTTTGTTTTTGTTTTTTTTGTATATTGGAGCTTCGGTCGAAAATACTCTGTGTGCGGTCAAGGCACCCTTCACGTACATGTGTATACAGTGTATCTTGTAATTTTATATTCTGACGAATAATGCATGCTTACATGTAACAAACAATGACATAATGGAACATAACTTGCGTACAAAGAAAATTTAATTTTAAAAAACCTACCCTACCTAGATGCATAAATTGCAGCTTTTTTTATAATCCACATATTATCTATACAGATATTACATATACAATAAAAAGCAGCCACAAGATAAATTAAGTGAAGATCGCCATTTAATACATCATCCGAAAAGATCTACTGTCTACATATGAATGCTCGTTTATTTCTTTGTAGTGATATTTGATATATATATATAAGGACCTACCCTTCCTACTTTATGAATTAGTTACTTTTTCTTTCACTAGATACAATATGGGGGGGGGGGGGGGGGGGGAGAGGGTTCCCGCCCTATTGCACATGCAAGTATTGTACCATTTCACTTTTTTAAGGATTGTAGTATATGGAAATTTGTATTTCATGTATTTAGTTGAATGAAATAAAAACGGATATTTTATTCGATAAATTGAGCTTAGACCCCCTCTCCCTCTCCAACACAAACATCTACTTTCAAAATAATACATTTTCCGAAGTAGTGCCACCCATTTTCTGATTTTTAATAGTTGATTTCTGTAACGTTGGAAAAGAATGCTTATTTATTGTCAGTTGCTCTCTCTCTCTCACAAACACATAAATGTACACTTTTTATACAAGGCACTATATAATGCGCATCACCTAGTAACTTCTTGTCTTTGCATGGATTTATACAGGGTATGAGGTTAGATTTTTTCATGCTATAAAAGGTAACTTTTCCCCCAAATGAACACATCGCACACTAGTATATATACGTATAATCACTGACGCATGACAAACGTGTTTCCTAATCCGTCTTAGGTATTATGGAGTATTTTCTTCTATTTGCCTGCTTTTAATTACATTGTAAGTGATTACAGAAAATTAGAGAGGAGAAATTATCATTCACAAAGTAGTTAAAACACTATCCGTTCTATTATACACATATACTTAATTGTTCCGATTTTTAACTATATATAGTTGCAATAACTGGTCCCTGGAAAACTACCGAGATACGGGAAGTTAGGGCGAGTTACGTTCGTTCGTAAGATGTCGGTATTTCTCTAATGAGTGAAAAGTTCTCGAATGGTACGTTTAACAATCAATCAATCAATAAATTATTCAACAGTTACAGAATCGACCTAATTGAATCCGTAGTGCGGGTTAAACAAAATTTTCGTCAAAATTTTGTCATATCAATTGCCAATATGGAAGCCATCTCAAGATGCGTCATAATAAAAAGTCAATGATATAACAAGACATTTATTGAATGAGTTCTCGGACAGAATACGTTTTGCTGAACCCTTGAACCAAACAGCTGCCTTCGGCCTTACGACCTCAGGCAAACATTTTTGGCTCATGGGTCCGACAAAACTTGTGTGGCCCTCGGACAAAATCAATAAATTATGATTTTGCAATTGAAGGTGACTTATATGATATATTGTAAGTACCAGTGTTTGAAACTCGTGGTAGAATTAGCTAGACATGCAGTGCTGACTGCCAGTGAAAGTTGTCAGTCCTGCCAAAACTCTACTATCCCGAGAAAATAAAAGTCTTTTATAAATGTTTTTAGCAATAATGTGAATGATCACCATAACTTCCATCCCGAATCTATAGGCTGTCGAATTCTACCCCTTTACTTGTTACAGTGAGCTGCTGATACTATTAGTTGATTTGAGAGATATTTATCAAATAAATTAATTTTAATTTATGGCAAATTTTAACACGTCCAAATGATACGTGCAAATCTGTTCGTCCGCGGCAAAATTTGTGCATCTCGGGCGGTCGGGTTCACGGTTATTTCAAACACTGGTAAATACATAGCTTAGATTACCTTAATTTATTTCAAGATTTTGCGCAAATGAAGTTTTATTGGTAATTTAATCTTTTAAAAAAACAACTTTTATATGCTTTCTGACCTGGTAAAATATGTTTGATACACTTTAATTTGATTTTAATTAATTTCAGCATATTGTGAACATAACAAGTAAATCCTGCAGAATATGGACACACTAGGAGTCAGCATGGACACACTATAGGAGTCAGCAAGGACACACTATAGGAGTCAGCATGGACACACTAGGAGTCAGCGCCCAGTGTAAAGTACGACAGTGTTCTCAATGTCAGGGTGATACAGAATTCTACTGTAACACGTGTAAACATGACCTGTGTCTACAGTGTAAAGAGAGACATGTTATTGATCTAGATACCATATACCACGATGTTGTGATTTACCGTGAGAAGCATGAATACATTCTGAAACAAGAGACCTGTGTGAGACATCCAGACATAATCTATGAAATGTTCTGTCATTCTTGTGAACTTCCTGTTTGTGACAAATGTAAAGAACACAGAAATCATCAAATACAGGACGTTAGAACAGCTTATATATCAAACCGTCAAAAACACAGAGAAATCGTTCACAACATCAGAAGTGAGACTCTTTATAACAGTTGCTGTGTCTTGGCTGGAATCAAAACTGATTTGAAAGCTTGTCATAAAGAAATCTGCAACCGTCAGTCAGAGATGTTAATAAAAGCCCAGAAACTAAGAAACCTCATATACACTGTGATGTGTGATGTAAAAATCAGACACAAAAGATTTATGTATACTTTACAACAACAGAGGAGAAAAATAAACAAACATCTTGCCAGCATAGAAAACTTTGAACACAGATCTGACCAGTCAGCAAACAGACCGCTAGAATTCCTCATAGTCCTAAAAAAAAACCGTGTACACAAGATAAAGGACACTCCTAATCTCACACAATATGCCCTGGTCTGCCTGAATGAAGAAATCAACATGGAGGATGTAATTGATTTAGGTGAAATCCAAATCCTAGAGAAAGGAAAAAGAAAAGTAAGAAATGAATGTTTGCTGAAACTGATGCCTTCGTCCAAGTTACACAGATCTGTCACAATGACAGGTGAAATATATCATATTTCTGGTGTGACACCAGACCAAGTGTGGATCAGTGATGGTAAAAATCTTTTCTTGATAAACAAAGAGGGTGACATTCTACGTCATCTGACAGATGTAATTAGTGTGTGGGGACAACACACAGTGAACCTTACCGGTGATCTTATTTATATAGACCGGTATGAAAAAGTTATCAAGCTCTCTAAAGATAACAGAACGAAGTCCACACTGATAAAGAAATCAGAATCATGGATACCACAGTGTGTCTACTCCTCCCACTTCAATGGCGATTTGCTGGTCGGGATGCAGTCCTATAAAAAAGGCATAATAACACGTTATAATGACACAGGACAACACAAACAGACAATACAGCATGGAAACACAGGTCAGGAACTGTATTCTGATCCTATCTACATCACAGAGAACCGCAATGGAGATGTTATTGTGTCTGATATTGATGGTGATCATGGCGCTGTAGTGGTGACAGAGCGTGGAGGAAGACATCGCTTCTCCTACACAGGACCTCCATCAGGATCACAACTATTTCCATTAGGAATCTGTACAGACGGTTTGTCACACATTTTGGTGTGTGATGGTATCACCAGCACAGTACAGATGCTTGACAAGGACGGTCTCTTCCTGTCACTGATACTGACACGACAGCAAGGGATAAACGGACCTATGAGCCTGAGTTATGACGATAAAACTCATCTTCTCTGGATTGGACGATGCTACGGGGAAAACAGAGTGTGTGTATATAGATACATAGAGAGGCAGGACTTTCTACAATAAAACATGTCATAGTTAATTAGATATATGACAGTACACATTCCATACTGACACAGGACTAACTGACAAGTGAATTAGATATATGATCAACACATACATACAAATACAGGACTATCTGACTTTCCTTTGTAATTAGTTACTTATACAACCTGACATGAAATACAGTAATAACTTGGTACAAGATAAAAACTGAATGTTTGACACATCTACATGCTGTTCATTTTCATAGTATATATAGCTAAAAAAAATGAAAGCACATACTGAAGTTACATTTGTTTAACACTTATAGAAAAAAAGTAAATACAAGTGGATTGTGGAGTGAAGGAAGTCTTAAACTTAATGATAATGGCTATTTTTAAATAATGCATGGTTTAAGTAAAATGAGAAAAATAAAGGTAGAATTCCCTCCCCCAACTTTAAAAATTGGAAAAAAACCCAAAGTTTCTAGAATATAAAAATCGCTTTATGCAGGCAGACAAATCTGTATATTGATTTTGACTTGTCTGTTAATTTGGTATTGTCTTTTAATTTTGACTTGTTGATTCAGAAAGAGAGTTTGTTTGGAAAAGATATAAGGATAGAACTGTTAGACCAACTTCTATTCTGCTTAAAACATTTGATAGAAAAAAATGGCATTTTTAAATGATCAAATTGATGCGTGTTATCTGATGATGATTTAAGCAGGGTAAGATAAATAGTTTTAAACTTACGACTTTTCAACTCTATATACAACCATTCCCCAAGATAAATTAAAGTTCAGGATTTTTGACAGCTGTTTTTTTTTCAATAAAAATGGAACTCGTAAATTTACTTACCTTGTAATTGGTCATTTGCAATTTTTTTGTTTAAAACATTCTGATTGTACGCACAACAAGTACTCCGAAGTTGATATTAAAAAGATGCTTATATTTCTGATTGAAAATTTCTATGTGGTTTTTTGGAGACCAGGTCTTCCAATGATCTGAATTTCCATGGGGTACAAATAGCGCCCAGTTATTAGCAGACCTATTATCTCCATATACTAAGTATTTCATTTTAAGTGGTTTACACGAAGAAGGAACTTGATTATTTTTTGGATAAAGGTGGATTCACTTTAATTCCGTCAA